GATCTTCCAATGTATCTTGGCTTGGACAATCCTCTAACGTGCACCATCTTGCCACAGGAGTCCCCCAAGGCTCTGTACTAGGACCTCTTCTCTTTGCCATATACACCACCTCACTGGGTGAGATCATTCGATCACATGGCTTCTCCTACCACTGCTATGCAGACAACACCCAGCTCTATCTGTCATTTCCACCGGACGACTACACTGTCTCTGCATGAATCCATACAGCACAATATCTCAATTCAAAAGGACTTCCTATCTCTGGCTCCTTCAAAGGCAGTTCGAAATCTGGGTGTTGTGATTGATGAACATCTGACCTTTAAAGATCATGTTGCCTCTGTTGCCCGTTCATGCCGCTTTGCGCTGTATAACATACGAAAGATCAGACCATACCTAACACAACATGCCACCCAGCTCCTGGTGCAATCTACTGTCATCTCCCGCCTCGATTACTGCAATGCCCTTCTAACTGGTCTTCCAGCCTGTACTGTGAAACCTCTTCAAATGGTCCAGAATGCAGCGGCGTGTCTGGTCTTCAATCAGCCAAAAAGAGCACACGTCACCCCTCTGTTCATTGAGCTCCACTGGCTACCGCTAGCAGCACGCATCAAATTGCTAACACTAGCATACAAAGTCCGAGATGGTACGGCTCCCATCTACCTGAATCCTCTTGCAAAGGCTTATATCTCAGCCCGGCCGCTCTGGTCATCACAGGATCGTCGGCTAGCAGTGCCTACACCACGCTCAGGACAATCCAGACTCTTCTCATGCATCGTTCCACAAATGTGGAATGACCTTCCAAGCACTACCAGAACAGGGGCTTCCTTTTCAAGTTGCTTTGGACAAAAGCGTCTGCTAAATACATAAACATAATTCCACGATTAACAGTCAAACACAAACACACTGACAAAACTAAAGTTCAGAGAGTGGACATGGCCGAACATCTATTAACGTGAGGCCCAGGTGCCTTTTTTCTGATTGTTTATTTTTGAGTTTGCTTGTCCCGCCCCTCATGTGCCTGTGAGTAACCAGACTAGTTATCTGCGTACAATTAAACAGAGGATGAGTCTGGCAGACCAGGCTAGCTCAGTTGCTCATTAATTATTCAGATTTTTAGGCATGAACCACTTGAACTGAGGAGTTACAAAACAATTTACCCGCCTCAGAGTTGTCATGAATGTAAACTAGACCTATTAAACCTAAAATGTTTTTTTAACCAGGCTGTAAACACGTTTATTTCTGCTGTGAAATTAGCATTTTTAACATGGAAGTCAATGAGGATTTGCTCACTTCTGGTGCCAGCCCCTAGTGGATGAGGATGGAACTACAATTTTTGCCACTTCCATGCTGGCTTCAAATTTATTGCAGAATTACGGGGGCTTGTTTGGGACATGCAAATGTAAGATGGTGTGTCTTTTCTCAAAACAAACAGCTGCGCAGCGGCCATTACAACATTACTAGCAGGTCGGAAACATCTCAGACTTTTAGTAAATTAGACACCTCAGACTGCCACAACAAGGAAAACATGGTTTTTAATTCTAAGACCACTGTTACATCACAGACTGGAATTAACTCTGTGCTGAGTGATACAATGGCACTGAAATGCATCAACTTATGGTTGGACACCACCACCATACTAACCAGGACTGTCTGCTGTTTCCTCCCAAACAAGCCTTGGTTTACTGGTGACTTGAAGCTCCCTCTAAATCAGAAGAAGATGAGAGCCTCCAGCTCTCACACCAAGGACATGTGGAAGGTGAGGGCAAAGAGGTGTGAGGAAGAGTCACACAAACAAAAAATCGAGGCAAAATGGGTCAAAATAAACCACAGGTGTCATGTGCCGGGGTGAGTACTCCTCTCATTTTCCCATCTTTGAGTTGTGTGTCTCAGGAGAGGGAGGCTCCAGCTGCAGCTGATTTGCAATCAACGGGTCTGGCTACAAAATGAGGATGGAGAACACTCCTCGACGCCGGATGATTACTACAGCTTGGTAGTTTCCTGCCCTCTTGCGACTCTTGGATTTTGTGCTCTAGTGTTTCTAGGATTTTTGTGAACCTTTGGATCTTTTCCCTGTGCTTACCCGTTACCAGGTTTTGGAACATTTTCTGGACTTCTGTGAGTTCTCTGGATTACGTCTTTGGATTTCTGCGACTCCTCAGGATTACTCACCTGTGCCCCATAGGATTTCCGGACGCAGCTCTCACCGTTCTCCATTCCTCCCGGCCGGCCCGCTCTCCTGCTCTCTTCTCGCTCCCTCTCTTGGACACCCCACTTGGATTCACCCTGTCACCCAACCTACCCTCCCTCATTCCTACGCTCCCCTACACCCAGTAAGTCTATTCTCTGCACCCACCAAGTTTAGACTTACCTTCCTGGACTCACCTACAGGTGCTGGCCAGTAAATTAGAATATCATCAAAAGGTTGAAAATATTTCAGTAATTCCATTCAAAACGTGAAACTTGTACATTATATTCATGCAATGCACACAGACCAATGTATTTCCGATGTTTATTACGTTTAATTTTGATATTTATAGGTGACAACCAATGAAAACATCAAATCTGGTATCTCAGAAAATTAGAATATTCTAAAGGCCAATGAAAAAATGTTTGTTTCTCTAATGTTGGCCAACTGAAAAGAATGAACATGAAAAGAATGTGCATGTATAGCACTCAATACTTAGTCGGGGCTCCTTTTGCCTCAATAACTGCAGTAATGCGGCGTGGCATGGACTCGATCAGTCTGTGGCACTGCTCAGGTGTTATGAGAGCCCAGGTTGCTCTGATAGTCGTCTTCAGCTCCTCTGCATTGTTGGGTCTAGCGTATTGCATCCTCCGCTTCACAATACCCCATAGATTTTCTATGGGGTTAAGGTCAGGCGAGTTTGCTGGCCAATCAAGGACAGGGATACCATGGTCCTTGAACCAGGTGCTGGTGGTTTTGGCACTGTGTGCAGGTGCCAAGTCCTGTTGAAAGGTGAAGTCTGCTTCCCCATAAAGTTGGTCAGCAGCAGGAAGCATGAAGTGCTCTAAAACTTCCTGGTAGACGGCTGCATTGACCCTGGACCTCAGGAAACAGAGTGGGCCAACACCGGCAGATGACATGGCACCCCACACCATCACTGACGGTGGAAACTTTACACTGGACCTCATGCAACGTGGATTCTGTGCTTCTCCGCTCTTCCTCCAGACTCTGGGTCCTTGATTTCCAAAGGAAATGCAGAACTTGCTTTCATCAGAAAACATAACTTTGGACCACTCAGCATCAGTCCAGTCCTTTTTGTCCTTGGCCCAGGCGAGACGCTTCTTGCGCTGTTTCTTGTTCAAGAGTGGCTTGACACACGGAATGCGACACCTGAATACCATGTCTTTCATGAGTCTCCTCGTGGTGGTTCTTGAAGCGCTGACTCCAGCTGCAGTCCACTCTTTGTGGATCTCCCCCACATTTTTGAATGGGTTTGTCGTCACAATTCTCTGCAGGGTGCGGTTATCCCTAGAGCTTGTACACTTTTTTCTACCACATTTTTTCCGTCCCTTCGCCTGTCTGTTAATGTGCTTGGACACAGAGCTCTGCGAACAGCCAGCTTCTTTAGCAATCACCTTTTGTGTCTTGCCCTCCTTGTGCAAGGTGTCAATGATTGTCTTTTGGACAGCTGTTAAGTCAGAAGTCTTCCCCATGATTGTGGTGCCTTCAAAACAAGACTGAGGGACCTTTTAAAGGCCTTTGCAGGTGTTTTGAGTAAATCAGCTGATTAGAGTGGCAGCAGGTGTCTTCTATATTCAGCCTTTTCAGAATATTCTAATTTTTTGAGATACCAAATTTGGAGTTTTCATTAGTTGTCACTTATGAATATCAAATTTAAATGTAATGAACATTGGAAATACATTGGTCTGTGTGCATTGCATGAATATAATGTACAAGTTTCACGTTTTGAATGGAATTACTGAAATATTTTCAACCTTTTGATGATATTCTAATTTACTGGCCAGCACCTGTATTCTGCTCTCCTCTCCTCAGATGCTGCGCTCCCGTTCTCGATCTCCACTGGGCTTTTCCAGTGCACATCTAGTTCCCGTTTTAAAATAAAGATTCTTTTATTTAACCATAAGATCTGTGAGTGTGTGATTTTGCATGTCATATGCAAAAACATGAAGGTAGTCAGTACTCCTCCACGATCACCCTGTTCTGCTCAGGTTGGAGGAAGTGAAGATTTAAAGTCATCCTCCTCAGATGGTTCTCCTAAACGTGACTGTACTTGGGTTAGGGTTCCTACTGGACTGAATCAGAACACAGGGAGAAGGAAAGGCAAACTGGTGAATGACCTGATGGTTGTGAGGTTTGTTACTGGTTTAAATGGTAAATGGCAAATGGCCTGTATTTGATATGGCGCCTTCTAGAGTCCTGGAACCCCCCAAGGCGCTTTACAACACAATCAGTCATTCACCCATTCACACACACATTCACACACTGGTGAGGATGAGCTACAATGTAGCCACAGCTGCCCTGGGGCGCACTGACAGAGGCGAGGCTGCCGAGCACTGGCGCCACCGGTTCCTCCGACCACCACCAGCAGGCGACGTGGGTTAAGTGTCTTGCCCAAGGACACAACGACAGCGACAGACTGAGCGGGGCTCGAACCTGCAACCTTTCGATTGCGGGGCGAGCACTTAACTCCTGTGCCACCGTCGCCCCTAGAGTGGACAATAAAAGAAAATGCTTTTGTAAGCATGACTCAGCATTTTAAAGTAAATTTAACTCACTCACGAGTAGAACATATTCTGGTTCGTTGCAATGAACAAATCGAGATGGGGACTTTATCATTAAAGTTTCTTCAAATTAGAGGACTTTCTTTCACAAATACAACCTTTCGAGAGTATTCCAAGAAGAAAACAATCCTAAATCCAGCGACTGGCATCACGATTAGACAACTCAATCAGGCTGGGGACGGGGAGGGTCCGGGGGGGGGGGGGGGGGGGGGGGGGGTTTGGGGTGGCAGCTCCTCCCATTATTAAGCTCCATGTTAGTGTCTCAGACGACGAAAAACTCAGAACAGAGCATAGCGCGCTCACACTCTCTTCTGCCTCTGTTGTTTTCCTGCTGCTCATCCTTTCTCGCTGCGCTGACTGACTTGCAGACATCCTGAGGACGAGCTGGGGGGGGGGGGGAGAGAGACACGCAGCATCAGCACCTCCCTGATCCTCCATCCCCTCTGCCTGCTTGGATCAGGGCTTCACCTCCGCCACCTTCACTGCCGTCATGTGTGACTGTTTCCACCTGGCGTTCCCCAACTGGCACGCTGCTTCTTCAGGGATAGGTGGGCTCTTTACTCTTTCCTCTGACAGACGCAGCATTCAGTAGCGGTGTGTGTGGATGTTTGTGATGAAGGGAGGAAGTGAGTGAGTGCCGCTGACCTGCAGTGGGTGTTGGGTGTGTCTGCAGAGACCATCAGAGGGTGTGTGAAGCTGGAAGCAAACTAATTTAGTCTCTGTGACAGCTGGATGAAGCAGAAACCAGGTTCATAAAGCAACTGAGACAGAAGGAATCAGAAACAAAAAAATTAGAACTTTCTCTTTTGTTTTTATTAATTTATTTTATAAGATGCTTCACATATCATCAAAGAAGTGTCTTTGGTTCTGATTTGTTCCAGAGTCCAACCCCGGAACCATCTTATCGTTTTCAGCCTCTTTGCTTCTAATTCCAATGATAATAACAATATTCACTTTGCTGTGAAGTTTAAAACTCTGGTTTGTGTGTTCTTCAGCGTCAAGCTCAGCAGAACCGAGCTGTGGTTTATCTTTGTTTCTGTTTGTGTGCCTAAAACCAGCCGTCTGCCACCTTCACGACTGAAAGAGACATTTTTACCGTCATGACTACAAAGTATCATCGTGTGGACCCATGAAAAAACGTAAAAGTCAGTCGTATACAAGGAAAATAGAGGAAAACACTAAAGATGAGGGTTAAGTTGCACTTTAGTCTTTAATAATGCGGAGTTAATCCAGCAGGTTGCTGGTTATTTATGACTTAACTGTCTTTACAAGATTAGTCATATTCCACTCATTCATGTTCGGGTCCTGAGGGGCCGCCCTATCCCCAGCTGCCTCCACCGGCTCCTCTGATGGTACGTTAAGGGAAGCTGAGGAATGTGAAGCCTCTATATTGGACCACACCCTCTGGTCCCCTGTCTGCCACTCCACAGGCTTCACACCTGATGTCCGTGCAGAGCTGCAGAGGCGTGTCAACCAAGACAGTTGTACAACATCAATAGCTTTGAGAGACACAGCATGGACCTCCTCAATCCCAGAAGTTCTGCTGCCAAGTAGCTGTTGGACTTCATCAGCAACCTCTGGCTGTGGTTCCTTACCTGTTGGAGGAGATCCACCGTTGGTGTCAGCAGCTCCCCTTTACCACTGTAAGCAGTGTGACCAAGTTGCTGACGTACCCCTTGAAGCTCTAAATGATTAACCAGAGCTTATCAATAGTATTTTTCCACCTAACTCCTCCTATGCTTGGCCTGCGGGCACGTGTCTGCAGCTCCTGGACCGCCAAAGACCAACCTTACCTTGTAGGACTTCTCCTTCAGCCTGAAGAAAGAGTGGGGATGACCACCATGACTAGCACTGGTAACCTGCGGCTCTAGTTAGCACCAGCTGCAGCAACCAAAAATATTTAGGACATATATGACTTTATATCAGGAAGGGAAAAATAAAACATCTCGACTTTACTGTCAAAACCTTTTTGATTTCATTAGATGAAAATGTTCTTGCTTCGACATTCATATGTTCTTAACATTTCAGCCTCTTACTGTCACCTATCTTTGGGTGAAGTCTCAGAAACTGTGGTTGTGGATGTTCTGACCCAGTTCCACCCAAACCGTGTCCACCTTCCCTGGAGACAGGACAGTTCTGAACCAGAGCTCCAGATCTCAGCTCCACGTTCATCCAGCTCTCCATGATGTTTACCTTCAGTTCCTCCTCTTTTATAGACCCACTGAACCCCACACACTCTCATGTCAGTCAGGACTCTGTGGCACTTCTCCCTTCTGATGAATGCAGAAGCCAGAAGCTCCAGGACAGAGCTCTGCTTGACAGGAACATCAAGTCATCAGGATATAAACAGAGACGATCTGGGAGAAGTCCACCCACACGGAACCAGGAGGCTCAATTTTAAACATGACCACCAGCAAATAAAGGGGTAACTCTAAGTAAAGGTGAAACATTTAGAACATCTGGATGCTGAAGCAGGAACATTTAAAAATATTAAATCCAAGTTTTTGATCTAACTGATGTTAAAATCTGGACTGTTTTTGACATTTTGGTCATGACGCTCTTCTGTGTGAGGACAAAAAATATAAAACCACACATGATCAATAACTCAATTTTTTAGTTTAAGTTTCTCTCTCTCTCTCTCTCTCTCTCTCACACACACACACACACACACACGCACGCACACACACACACACACACACACACACACACACACACACACACACACACACACACACACACACACACACACACACACACACACACACACACACACACACACACACACACACACACACACACACACACACACACACAGTTTCTTATGGAACTTTCGGATTGAATTAAGATGAAACCCGCAGTAAGTTTGCAGCAGATGAATAAATTTAAAGCATGTGGTTTTTCGATCTCATGTCCTTACAGTATGTGCTGTAAATCTAATTCAGTTCTTCCTTTAGTTAAATCTCATTATACTGTGGATCTTAGTGAAAAGAGCTGTTGTTTGTTGTTTGCACTGAAATAAGCCAGAATTTAACCAGAGAGCATGAATAATAAACCATGTTATCCTAAATGAGTTTAGCGAGGAGGAACATTCAGGCTTGCAGACTCCTCCACACAGGAAGCAGGAAGAATAGATTTAATGGGGCTGTCCCTTTTAAAACATTTTAACTAATCACAGAAACATTTTAAAGAACTGAAAATCTCTTCTTGTATTTTGGTTCTTTAGACTTTTCTTCTATAGTTGAAACTCTGAGAATGACTCAAGTCACCTGAGATTATTATTTTATCACAAAAATAAAAGCGAAGGACTGTGAGATAATTTTCGATTTTGAGTTTTCCACCTGAATGCAGCAAGAAGAAGAAGACGTCCAATTGTGATTCCATTAGCCTCTTACTTTAACTTTCTTTAATGCACTTCCAGAAGAGAGCCGCTCACATGACGTGTATTACTGTAAAACATGAGGGCGGGCACTAACAGCTCATCAGGAATGTAGTCACCATTAATGGGTAAAGTTCAACACTAATAAATAATTTAATTAGTCATTTCCCATCATTTAAATGACCACTTATTAGATATCTTATTTAAATATAATGAAATAAAATTAAGTATAATTTTAATAAAAAATACTATAAATTTTGTCAGAGGAAATAAAACAGGTCAACTCCTCTCCAGTTGAGGAGGTTCAGGCATTTAGGATGCCCCTTGATGCCTTCCTGGTGAGGTATTCCAAGCACATCCAACTGGAAGGAGACCTAAAGGAAGACCCAGGAGAGACTATGTCTCTCGACTAGCCTGGGAATGTTTTAGGATTCCTCCGGAGGAGCTGGTCGAAGTGGCTGGGGAGAAGGAAGGCTGGGCCTCTCGTCTCACCCCTTCTTTCCACAGGAGCCGTCAGCAGCACGTTACTGCTGCAGCATTTCTTGCTCGCGTAAGCTGCTGCTTGGCCCTTCTCACGAGACGCGAAGCAGCAGGGGAGCAGCTGTCACCGACCGAGCACAAAGTCACACGAGTGACTTCGTCAGTAAACACAACAACAAGCAGGAGAAAACTACAACATGGTTTGTGTTTTATGTTCTGTCCGTTTTATAATCGCCAATACGGACCTGAAAAACAAAGGAGACCGCTAGCTAGGTGATAACTTCTCACGGGGCCGCGCAGTTACTAACTTTTTTTTTAAGTAAAGCAACCGGAAGGCAGTACATTTCTTTATTCTGAAAATCTCGGGAAGCTTTGCTCCGTTTCCGCGTCCGATTTCCTCTTTCCTTCCCCAAAAATGTCGAACTTGACCCGTTGCAGAGGCGTAGTGCGTTGAAAATAGAACCGGCGCGTAAAGGCCACAACATGCTGCTCCTGAGACGCGGCCGACTCGCGCTGCTGACGGCTCCGGTGGAAAAGGTTCTGTTGACCACAGCGGTTCCTATCAGCAGCTATGACGTGCTGCTGCAGTAATGTGCTGCTGACGGCTCCCGTGGAAAGCCGGGGTTAGGCTGCTGCCCCCGTGACCCGACCCCGGATAAGGTGACGAGAACGGATGTATGGATGGCAGTGCAACAAAATAAACAAAACAAAAAACAAAAAATTTTAGAAAACAAATTAAAACGAAATAAAATTATACTGATTAAATATTTAATAAAATAATAAAAAAAATAAATAGAGAACAACACAAAATAAAAAACTCAAACATGAAATCATAAAAAAGACACATGTCGGACCAAAGGAGATAAAGATCCTTATTCCCCAGACTTTTACTTGGCTGACAAAAAGATAAGTGTCTCAGAGAAAACTAAATATTTGGGCCACATTATTACGGATCATCTCTGTGATGACGACAACATTTATCGGCATTCATCTGTATGCCCCGGCTAATGTTTTGTCCAGGAAGCTTCATATGTGTTCAGACAATGTGAAAATCCACGTCTTCAGAACTTACTGTACACACTGCACCTCTGTGGTGTAAATAGAAGAGCGCTAGCATGCAGAAGCTTAAGGTAGCATATGATGATGATGCATTGAGGACTCTGCTCAGGAAGCCCAGGTCCAGTAGTGCCAGTCTTTTGTTTTGTAACGCTCATGCCAACACCTTTCAAGCTCTAATGAGGAAACGGATGTTATTCTGCTTCTGAAGAGCTCTGAGAACAGACTTATCCTGATGTTGGTGGATCCTGGTTTTAGTAATCCATGTGGAGACACTGAGTGTCTTTTATAATGCCTGCTTTTTTAAATGTATTTTATTGTATTTATTCTTATCTCTTTTATAATTATTTATTTTTGACCATTGTGTCTGTTATTCAAAAATCCACATAAAATGTAATATATTTCAATAAAAGACAGTAAGAACAAAACATAGAAACTCAAACTAAGGTAAACTAAATCAAAAAGAAATGGAAATCAAAATTAAAAAGCTCAAAGTTGGATTAAAATAAATGAAATAAAAATTGAATCATTCATATTAAAAACATTCTACACCCTGAGTTCCACTTATGCAGCTAAAACAGTTAAATGTCAATAAAAAGGAAATCAGGCAAATTACATAAATCAAAATAAAGTGATTATTTAGGTGAAATGCGCCAAAAATAAACAAAAATGTTAAATAAATATCTGCAGTCAGAGAAGAATCTGTTTGCCTCCTGACTTTTACTGTTCACCTGAAACCTTTTAACATCCCATAATACAAATACTGGTTCAGAAAAATGTAAATAAAGCGTAGAGCAAACTATCCTGTTCAACAAATATGAGTCAGTCATTAGGGCTAACAACAACAACAATAATAATATTAATCTGACTGCCCAGAGTTGGCCTTGAGAGCAGAGAGGCTGCAGACTACAGAGCTTAATGGAAGGATCGATGGAGTGGATCACTTAGCCGTCGGAGGAGCCGCAGCTCTGAGGGAATTACTGCCAGGAAGAACCTTAAATAGCATCATAACAGGCTCCAGTGTCTGTCTGAGCCTCAAAACAAGAGACTGAGTGGGATTACTGCACAATAAACACACACACACACACACACACACACACACACACACACACACACACACACACACACACACACACACACACACACACACACACACACACACACACACACACACACACACACACACACACACACACACACACACACACACACGAACACACAAACACACACACACACACACACACACACACACACACACACACACACACACACACACACACACACACACACACACACACACACACACACACACACACACACGGTCCTGGTCTCCAGCTGTTGATAGAGCTACAGCTCCTGCTCACACATCCATTTCTGCACATTCTGCTTTACCGTGAGGCCTTCAGGGTAAATCAGTAGTTCTCAGACTTTCTCGAGCTCCCTGCATTCGTTTGTGACAGCTTGCTGAATCACACTTGACCGTCTCAGTAGAAGAAAGGACTTTTTTAGAGCAATAAAGGTATTCAGGACTGCTTCAGCATTTAAATAAAAACAAACGTGGAGTCAACTTTTTGAACAAGATGAAAATAACGATCATCTGTGCATAGAAATTCACTCGGCCATACCACTGAAGGCTGCTCTCAGTAGATTAGTAAAGAGATGCTGCTGCCTTGTTCAGTAAATAAAGATAAAAACCTAAGAATTATACATTTCTGTGATTTTATTAAAGAACAGATCGTGACGGGGAGTCTTTCAGACACATTTTACAGGCTTTTATTTTGACATGTCTCTCAGAAATGTGACCAGGTGTTGCCTGCCTTCATCAGCTGTTCTCCCTGTAGGCATGGCCAACCCAGCTCAACCTATCAGGTCTATGGCCCAATCTCAATACTCGCACTGCGCCCTGCAGTCTTCTGCAAAGTGCACTTGGAGAAAGTGCGCATAGGGTTCAAGTGCGTAGTACACAAGTGTGCAAATAATTGCAGAATTGAGACAGGGATCTGAATGCATGTCGGGATTCTGGTCACTGTGATACTTTTTTTTCAAAAACCTTTATTAACAACTTTTAAACAAACAGCCAAACAGTTATTTGAAATAAATTTAACTTCATTGCTGCTTTGTCTAAAACATTCAGAGCATCAACTAATCGTCCTAAAATGAACTAACTTCATTAGAAAATACATATTTTCAGAAAAGGAACTTGAGCCTTCTCTCCTGCAGCAATGACTTGTGGGTAATACCCTTGCCCGAGGTCAGCATCGCTGCAGACTTGGGTGAAGTGCAGATTAAGGGTGCGATGGGGGCGTGGTCAACTTCCGCATTTGAGAATCAGGACACCCTACGCACTTGCCCCCCTGGCCGGGAACTCGCGAATAAAGGGCGCAAGGGTGCAAGTGCGAGTATTGAGATGGGGCCTCTCTCTCATTGATAGAAACAGAAAACATGGTCATGTTTAAATCTGATCTGAGACAACAGGACCATTCTGAGATGTTGGCCCCATCATAGATCTTAACTTCTACTTTTTAGAAATACCATTTTCTATTAAACTTCACTTGCTTTTGATCAAAACATTTAGTTTAACAGGAATGAGTCCTCAGTTTAACCCCCCAAATAAGGACATTCTTGATTAAAAAAAAGAAAAAGTTATTGCAGGAGCCGCTAGTAGAAGCTATCTGTTTGCATTTACATCTTCACAACACAGCAGAACTCATTCAGGCCTGTATTGTTTATGGAGATGAAACATCAAAGGTGCAGAGGGAATGTAGGCAGTGGAAGAGTCACGTTGCTGTTAGCCATTCAGAGTCGAAATGTCAGAATATCAGGAACTAAGACTCGAAAACCTGTGGTCTTCTGCTCACCTCTTATAAGTCAATAATCTTTGTTTATTTACTGTCAACAGGAGCCAGGAGAAGGCTGGAAGGACCAGAGTCCACTCCAGAGGACAACTCGGTGAGTGACGAGTGTGTCTAAGTAAAATCAGTGACTTTTTTCTCCTTGTTTTAAGTTTGTTAGTTTAATTTATTTTACACAAAGGACTCATTTAGAGATGATATCAGAGATGAGACCCAAAGTTCCCAAACCAGACCTCCTTAGACACAGACTCCGGGATCATGGCGTGGTAATACTCAAGCTCAACTGCCATGAGGATTTTTTGAACTTTATTAATTTAAGGATTCTCCTGTTGGCTTTGCAAAGGTTGTTTGATTTTATTTTCCATGTAAACTAATATCAGCCATTCATTGTTGATCCATGTCCTTTTACTCAAGAAGCAAATTTGCTAACTGGTTTGTAAAATTTGAGTCTTTTTTGCACAGTTATTAGGAAAATGTATGCTTGTAAATGTAAATGTGATTCAGACTGTTTATAAGTCGTGTGTGTGTGTGTGTGTGTCCGTTCACACACATACAGGCATGTGGAGAGCCTACGCAGTTTACAGAGGGGGAAAGGCCACGCCCACAAGGATCATCGCCTGTGGAGGAGGACCCTGAAGCTGCCAGATATGACAGGGACAAAAAGGTACACTGGAAAAAAATGATAACTAATAAAATTAAAAATGACAAAGAGGCTGGGGAAAGGAATCTGAATGAAATATTTGAATGCATTTCCACTTTCAGTATAAATATGAAGTTAATCAATCTTTATTTGAAAAGAAAAGAATGAAAACAATCTTTTATTTAGCGCCTCTCAGGATAAAAATCACAAGGCGCTTCACAAAAACAAAAAATTTAAAATATAAAAGATAAAAAAATGTCTAAAATGACAAAAAAAGAGAAATTGTGATTAAAAATGTGAGGATGGGAGGAGGGAAAATGAATAGAAAAGAGGGAAATCAGTGGATCCCAGGAAATGCGGAACAGGTGGAAAGAGCAGAATAAGGAGAGGGTGATGACGAAGGTCACACCAATACCAGCTTGAACAGGAGAGTCTTCAGCTGCTTTTTAAAGGAGTCCACTGATCTCAGCCTCGGGGGGAGTTCCAGAGTCTGGGGGCCACGGCAGCAAATGATCTGTCACCTTCGGTCTTTAGCCTGGTGCTGCACAACCAGTAGGCTTTGGTCACTGGACCTCAGGGACCTGCTGGGGGTGTAAGGACTGAGAAGATCACCAACATATAACTTGTCCATGTAAGGCCCTATAGACCAGAACCAGGATCTTGAAATGAACCCTGAAGTTGACTGGCATCCAATGAAGCTGGAGGAGAAGCGGGGTGATGTGAGTGTGTTTGGAGGACTTGGTCAGAAGCCGAGTGTTGTGATTATTAGCCAACAAATAATTTGTAAGCTTTACTTACTTTTTGGATTCATCAATAAATTTGTAAATATGGAAATATTTACCGATTTATTATGTAATTAGGACATCCGTGGATATGCCTCGGGGCACCACCCCTTTAATAGGGGAAAAATGAATCCAAACCTCTATCAATCTGTCTAAAGTTCATAAAATTATTTTAACGAGCAGTGCTCATATTCTATCCAACACAGACAAATTCACTTGAGACAAAACTTAATTGGCAATAACATTTATTAACTAATATAATCACTTTAGCTCCTTCAAAGTGCTAGCCAATCAATACCAACCAACTGATTTTATCAAACAAACAACAAGCAATGAAACCATGGAATGATAATGTGAAATAGCAATCTAATCAGACCGGTGGGTGCGATAGTGAGGCTGCTTGATGATGTGATCAGGCCAGGATAGGCTGATTACAAAACTGGAGGGAGTTTTGAAACAAAATGGCGGATCCTTTGTTTGGCTGAGCAAAGGATCAACTGTGTGTGTGTGTGTGTGTGTGTGTGTGGAGATTTAGCTTGTCTTCCCAAACACGCACAATCAGTGGCGGTGTGAGCAAACGTTCACAGTAGACTTAATCAAAACACTTCAAATCACTTCACAAAGATCAAGAAAAAAAACAGATCAGTCATAAAGGCAAGTTACATATCTAAACCGTCTGTCAGCCTGGCCACAGCATAAACAAACTTAGATATTAAACAAAAAAATAATGGGCTTACTCTGAGATGATCCGTTGGCGTTTTTAGTACGGAGGAGAGAAACCGTTTGTTAATTTAAAGCGATCACGTGGTCGACCGCTTGTTTCGGACTATTAGAGAAGCAGGAGAGAAAGAGAGAGAGAAAAAGGAAAAAAAAAATCTTGAATGAACGAACACAAAGCGTCCCTTCGTGTTCGGGCTGAGCAGATCAGCTGGCGTTAGTCCATCGGCCTCAGCAGCTAGGCCTCATGCACACGCTGTCCGGAGCGGTAAGCAGAGGCGGGCATCTCCTTTCACCAGATGAACTGGCCGGGAAGAGAAAGATTTCCGCTCTGCGCCTCGGCTTTATAGACTCATCCAGCGGGTGGGTTTCTGTAGGGCCGATATCCACTGGCGGCGTGTCGGACTTGGCGTCGCGTGATGACATCATCAAGCTGCTGCCGGCTGCAGGGAATCATGGGACATGGAGTCCCTGCTGGCGCTGATCTCGATATGCCTTATTTGTCTACGCTTCAGGAAGTTTTTGGCACAGTCTTTTGGAGAAAATACTGCGTAGTAATTTTCCCATGAGGGCAGGACCCCAACACCGAGCACAGGCGTTCTGAACCACCTGTAGACGGTTCAGGGAGGTTCTGCTCAGACACGTGAAAAGAGAGTTACAGTAGTCTAAGAGTGAGGAGATGAAGGTGTGGAGAACAGTCTCAAGTTCAGAGCGGGACAGAATGGGACTCAGCTTAGCAACGTTCCTGAGATGGAAGAAGGAAGAGCGAACAAGAGACCTGACATGAGAATCCAGGGTGAGAGCTGGTTCAAAGGTCATGCCAAGATTCCTGACAGAGGGTTTGGTGTGAGAAGCAAGCTGACCAAGAGAGTCTCTGACTCTGGGAACCAGCTTGTCTGGGGCACAGATGACGATCTCAGTCTTATCTTCATTCAGCTGTAGAAAGCTCCCAGCATCCAGGTTTTAACAGAGTCTAAGCAGGTGTGTTGGTTCGTACAATAAAAAAATTAAAAGCTGGTTATGTTGCAATGGTTAGCAAAACTTTGTTTTGTAAAAACCCTAAGCCAGTAAACAGGAGCAACCCAGAAGTTATTTCCTCTACCCCAAAGAAGCCATGACATCTTTTTGTTTTTCTCTAATATTGGGGAAGGCTAGAGGCTAATGTTGAGCTAACAATGCTAACGGTGAATTAGAAAATGCTGTCAACTCTAAAAATATCTCAAGCTACTTTTTCAATTACCAACAACTCGATATTAATGCATTTATATACTCAAATTACTGTGTGTGACACTTCTGGTGCTGATGTGTGTGTGTTTGCTCACTGGTAAAATTCAGAGTTGTTATTTTAAATTTCTTTCTTTCTAGAGTGAAGCAGAGCGTGACTCTGGCCTTAAAAGCGGAAGTGGACCCAAAGCAAAAAAGTCTGGTTTTGTGTCCATGTTTGAAAAAAGATCTTCAACTCCAAAGATGAGAAAAGTGAAGGTGAGTCATTACAGCGAGCTGACTTCAGAGTTACATTTTTCCAGGAGAAATCATTACTGTAAACTTAGCTTTAAATCATAATAAGCAAACATCTTTAATAAACTGAAATTGGTAAAAGTTCAATTAAAAACTTTTAATTTAAATCTAAATGTTTAGATATGTACAGAGAAAAGGTGATCTGGGTCTCGGTCACTGGGCCAGAAGCCAAGACCGCTCTTTCCAAGGCCGCCTCCACCAGCTCCTCCAGTGGGACCCCAGAACGTTCTCTGAAGCTTTCTGTATATTTTCCACCAGCTCAGGTGGGAAGTAAGATGAGGTAGACAGAGACGTTTTCCTTTGAGACTTCTCCGTTGCCTGGGAAGTGTTGCAAAGCAGAGGACATACTGCTTTTCGTGTGTGTGTGTGTGTGTGTGTGTGTGTGTGTGTGGGGGGGGTTCTGCCACCACTGCAGCCATGTCTCTGGTCCACGTTAGTGTATTTACTATTGTGCATGTGTTTTTTGTTTTGTGTGCATTTATTTCAGAGACTTTTAAACACGGATGCATTTGTCCCTCGTTCTCCTCCTCCTCATGGAGTCGCCACCTCCAAACCCAAGTTTACCGTAATGTCCTGCTTCTTTGAACTCCTTCAGTCATGTGTTTAAATGTTTATATCACCAGACGTTGTCCGATGCGTTCTGGTCTGCTGATAGATATCTTCAGCACTCGTAATTTAAAAATTTGGATTGGTGGTGACAAATTTAAAGGAAGTGGCGTCCTGACCAATCACAGGCTTGTTTTTGGTAGCTTTTGACGCACAGTTAAACAACTGGGCATGTCTCCATCACTCTGTGAGCCTGACTGCAGAGTGCTTGCATCAATGGATGATCACTTTGTGTGTGTCTGTACCGCTGCAGAATTATAAACTAGGGTTAAGTCAACACGGGACGAGGTGGTGTCCATCAAGCATCCTCTGATCAAACAAACCACCTCAGCTGGCTCCTCTCTTAGTGAAGGAACATCAGATCAACTCCATGCTCCTCCACCCAGTTGGAGGATCACAAAAAAGTGCTAATAGCACAACAGCATTAATGTGGGGTGCAGATAACTCCTCATCTCTTTTTCTCCAGCCTGAGGTTGTTCCAAGAGCAATCTGCAGCATATTAATTATTTATAACATTTCCACAGAGAGCTTCTTCCTCTAATGTCTTAGCAGGGCCCCCCCAGCCTGGAAGCCGGTGTGATTGTGGAAACAACTAGGGACGGATGTTCAGAAGGTCTCATTTATGGAGGAGGAGGGAAAGATGGGATCTTCATCAAAAAGGTGCTGCCAGAGTCACCTGCTTCAAAAAGTCTGAAAGTGAAAGAAGGTCAGATTTATTTATTTATGATGATTGATATTTTTTTTCCGTATTCTCTTTTCAAGTTCTCTTGTTGTAAAACGTTCTTTCGTTTCTGTAGGCGATCAGATCCTGAGTGCCACTGTGTATTTTGACAACATGCCTTTTGAAGATGCCGTCCAGATCCTGGAGCACGCTCAGGCTTACAAAGTCAAGCTCTGCCTCAAACGCACACCGGAGCTGGAGACCGATCCGGTTCTAGAGTCTGCTAACATCCCTGTAACTAATTTAATGTTGACCACACACACACACACACACACACACACACACACACACACACACACACACACACACACACACACACACACACACACACACACACACACACACACACACACACACACACACACACACACACACACACACACACACATACACACACACACACACACACACACACACACACACACACACACACACACACACACACACACACACACACACACACACACACACACACACACACACACACACACACACACATTAAAGATTACTTGAATCTGATGGCCATTATTTCTGCTCCTCAACAGGAAGAAGAGCTCTGCTCTGCTGAGATGAAGGAGCAAGTGAAAAGCAGAAGTCGTGAGGATGCTCGCATCTCGTGGCCAAAGATCTCCACCTTTGGAAAAGAACGAAAGTCTTGTTTTACAAGGTCTCACAGCACCTCCGAGGCAGACGAGCAGAGGAATCCTGAACTGAGTCCCACCACAAGCGACACAGAGTCTTCTATAAAGTTTCAGGATGCTCTTAAAGGGAAGAAGAAGCACAGGATAACGCTCTCTGCTCTGACGAAGAGGAGCCACACCAGTTTGTCTGAAGATGCTCAGACAGGACAAGTCAGTGGTCAGACACAGGAATCAGATCTGACTTCTCCAGAGGACCTGGAGGGAGTTTTAGGTGTCGAAGTCAACATGACTGAAGGTATGAAGGTAGAAAACCACCTGAAGCCTCAAACTAGGACCGACGCTCAAGGTATTCAACATAAACGTATGGATGCAGGAAGTCCTTCAAAAGCAGGGGAGCCAGCTCTGACTGTGGCTGGTCAGGAGAGTCTCTCCATAAAGTCCCCCGATGGAAAAAAGAAGAAAAAAGAGAAGTCTGAGTTAAAACTCAAAAGTCCAGGGAAAGAAAAATCACACAAAAAAGACTCAGACGTTAAACTGTCACCGAGAAGGCTGAAAACACTCGGAGCGAGTTTTGATACGGAAGATCAACTCGATGATGAAAAACTTGATTTTATCTCAAACTCTGAGTCAAACAAACTTCTGGAGGATCACTCTGAACCCGATGAAAATAAGCTAACTGTTGGTGGTGAGAGTTCAAGAGTAACCTCCTCCAGATCCATGACGGCTCAGATAAGTTTCCCGAAGGTGGAGCTGGATTTATCCGACGTTGCCTTTGTGCGAAAATCTCCACACAAAGACAAGAAAAAAGGACAGAAACAAAAAGAAACATCCAAACAGCTGAGAAAAGTTTCAAGTGAAGAAATCCAGAATATAAACGAATCCACGGCCCAAACTGGGAATGTTTCATCCACACAACTTCCCAAACGGGAAGACATGGAAATTCCTGGAATGGAAGACATGTCTGTGAAGGCTCAAGTGAGAAAAAACAAAAAACAAAAAGGTGGTTTTATTGTGAAAACTCAAGACAGCCAAGCTGAAGCTGTGCAACTGTTTATTGATGTCAACAGCGTCAAGGAAGCGGTTTCCAAACTGCCTGGATTCAAGCTGCCTCAGGTGGACACATCCGGAGTGCCGATCCCAGAAGAAAAAACGGTCATAGATGCAAACGCACAAAGAATATTTATGAAAACACCAACTAAGGTGGTAGAACCAGGAAGACACCAAGAAAAACACGAGGCACATTTCAGCACAATCGAAATCCTCTCTCAATCATTTAAACCAGCAAACATCACATCTGCTGGTTCAACCTCAGTAGGGCCTTTGCCGAGGGATAAAGATCCTTCCCCAGAGGTTTCCACCTGTCAAGAACAAGAAACTGTTCAAAGCAAAGGTGCAGGTGGAGTGAAACCAGAGAGTGATTCAGCAGTTTTGAAAACATCACAGAAAAAAATAAAAACAGTAAATATAACGATGCCCAGCTTTGAGTTATCACCAGAAATACGAATCCCTGAGATGAAGAAAGACAAAGAGCAGGCTAGAGGAGTCACGTGTGACGTTCAAACACCAGAACTCGTAGGCATCGAGTTCATCGATTCAGTAGACGAGTCAGCAGCCAAAAAGGAGGGGGGTGTTACCAGCTGTGGTATCAGAACCAGCATGGAAGGTTCTGTTTTACAAATCACATGTTTTGAGTCTGAAGATCAAACAGCTAGGCTCTCCAAACCCAGAGACGTTTCTTCAGACATCAGTGGAGATCAGAAAACGTCTGAGATAAAAACTACTGAACAAGCGGGAAGAGCTTCCAGGTTTAAACTGCCTCATCTCAGTTTCTCTGTGCCAAAAATCAAAGGACCAAAACCTGATTTCACCACATCGAAACAAGAAGTAGAAGTCGCAGAAACACAGAGCAAAGCTGAGTGTCAGGTCCCTGAGGGCCCAGAGAATGAAGCTTTTATTTTGAAAGAAATGACAGAAGCAGAAAAACCTGAACTGAAAAAGAAACTTCCTGAAACTCGGGAAGAACTTGGAAAGCAAGAAAGCAAAGTCAAAAGGCACAGTTTTGAAATGGGAACGCCCACATTCAAAGACCCTGAAGTTGACTTAAACCTGTTAAAGATAAACAGAGAAGTAAAAGCACCCGATATGAAAGCGGAGGCCCATGGTTCAGGAGAATATCAAGCTGAGGCAGAGAAAACGCACCTGAAAATCCAAACCGTGGAAGCTCATGAAAAACAGCAAGGAAGTAGATTCAAGATTCCAAAGTTTGGAATCAAGATCCCAAAAATAAAAAGCCATGAGTTTATCACGAGCCATGATTTATATGAAACTGAGGTCCACCACCCAGAAACATCTGAGGTAAATGTTTCCCCAGGTAAAGTAGATATGGATGTTCCAAATCAAAAACAAGAGCCTGTTAGTGACGATGGAGAAACACAAGCTACTAAGTTCACGTTTCCCAGGTTCACTATCGCAATGCCCAAAATAAAAGGCCCCGAGTTTTATAACGAAATCTCCAAGAAAGATCCAGATGCCCCTCTACCAGAGACTAAAGCAGAGGTCCAAATCCCACCAGTTACCAGACCTGACATCAGCACAAACATTTCTATGTCCCAGGAGGAGATGGGGGCAGAAGGACCTGAACAAGAGACCAAACCTCTGCAGATGGAAGGGGAACCTGATGAAAGAGGAAGGTTCAAAATACCAAAGTTTGGAATCCAAATGCCAAAACTAAAAGTACCTGACTTTGACGTAAGCTTTTCGACTAAAGATGCTTATGTCATACTTCCAGAAGCTACAGCTGAGACTGTGCCAGAAGAAAAGCTGAAGGCAGAAAAACCTCAACTAGAAACTGAACCTGTACAGATGGAAGGGGGATGTGATGGACAAGGGCCTAAGTTCAGGACACCAAAACCGGGAATTGCAATTCCCAGTTTGAAGGGGCCTAAGGTAGATGTAAGCCTCTCAAAACCAGAGGATGGTGTCAGGTTATCAGAAACCAAAGAGGACGTAGAGCGAGTTTCACCTGGACTGGGACTCAAGGTCCTGGAGGCCAAGTGTCTTTTGGATGGAAAAGAAGAAAACATAAAACCCACCAAATCTGGAATTGAAATTCATCTAGGACCAAAGACAAAGGCTCCAGCTTCTAAAGAAGATGTTTCTGATGATATGGACCGTTCATCTTCAACCAACAAAAATACAATGTCAACAAATGTCAGTTTCTTTGCTCCCAAATTCAAATGTCCTGATTTAGATTTGGGTTTACCAAGAAAACAATTAGAGAGTGAATCAGAGACTGAAGTGGAGACCGAGCTGAAACTTCTAAAACTTCCTAATATTGATGTCGATCTTGGAAATGCAGAAACTTTGATGCCAGAAGGCAAAGTGGAAGCTGGAGAACCTGCAGTGCAAATCAAAATTTCACAGACTCATCCTAAACATCCCAGCCAAGAAGGATGGTTTAAAATGCCAAAGCTGGGAATAACAATGCCAAAGGAAAAGGAGCCTGAAACACATTTAAACGTTCTAGAGGAAGATACTGATGAAATACTTACCAAAGTCAAGATTGAAGGCAAAATACCCAATGCAGAGCTTGAAGAACCTGCTGGTAAACTAGAACAATCCAGATCTAAATTTAAAGTTCCTTCTTTCAATTTATCCAAATTTAGATCTGCTTTCAGCTTTGAGACTCCAGAGGTGAAAAAAGAAATAAAAACAGAAGAATCCACATTTAAAACATCTAAAGACAAAGACACAACTGAACAAAATCAACCTCTCGTGCTGGACATGGGAACTGAAGGTGATGGGGACAGCACGTCCCTGCCACAAGTTCATGAGCTAGCAGCCAATTTAGGATCTTCAAACCGAGATGCTAATTTGCCAAAAAGAGACACTAGTTTTCTTCCAGAAGCTCCTAAAAGTCAGCTTTTAGACACAGATATCACATCACCAAGAGCCACAGCAGAGTTTTGTCTACCCAGTGCTGATGCAGAACCATCAGCAGACGTCAAACCTGCTCAGACTGAACCACAAACATCCACAGTTAAAGGATCACCATCAAAATTTAAACTACCAGCGTTCAAATTTCCCAAGATTGGTGTCATAAGCCCAAATGTCAGTACTAAAGCAGAGAATGTAGAGAAACAAAATGATAACGGCAGCTGGAAGGTGGAGTTATGCACTATTACATCAGAGGCTTCAGAGGTCCAAATGTCAGAGGCAGAACTCAGCTTATCAAAGAAAAAAGGCATAGATACTGATCTGGTCGCTGATCTCTCAGCTGAAATGGAAGCTCCTAAAACCAAAGGTGTGAAGGTTAAAGAAGTTTCACCATCAAAATTTAAGATGCCAATTGTGAAATTACCAAAATTAGGATTTGACTCCCCTAGTAGCATTCTGGACAAAGACGCAGTCACCACTGTTGACACACAAGGTCCAACATTAGATATGAAAACTGCAGAGACTGGATGTGAAGGAAAACAAAGCAATTCCAAAGTGTCAGCTCCAGGTTTTTCTGTGCCTCCAATAAAAGGGAATGACATGAATTTAAGGCTCCCAAAGATGGATGTGACAATACCAGAGGCTGAAAGGGAAGTCAGTCTCGGTGATGCTGAACTGAAGAAAGTCTCCATTGAAGATACTAGTGAAGGTAGCACAGCTGCAGCAACAGACGACAGATCAGAACCACAATTTAGGTTTCCAGCATTCAAGTTTGGAGTTTCAAGTACCACAGAGAAGGAGTCTACGGTGGACAAAGACAGACAAGTAGATACTATTGTTGATGTTGAAGCTCCTAAAACAGAGACAGAATCCAGATCAATAGATTTGATCATTACAGAAACAGAAGATAAAGAAAAAGGAAACAAGTTCAAACTTCCAAGTATTAGTTTGTCTCTGACTCAAGCTAAAGGGCCCGATTTAGACTTTAGCCGATCAGAAGGAAATGAAGCAGGGACTATCACACAAACCATAAAGAGGACCAAAGATCAAGTCCAAGTCCTTGAAGATGATCTGTACAAACCCTCAGCTGAAGTAGAAATGAAAGATCCTGAGATCAAAGGGGTATCAAATGATTCTGATGGCTCTCCATCCAGATTTAAGATGCCCACTTTTAAACTACCAAAGTTTAAGCTTAAAACCCAAAGTTCCACTGAAGAAGAACCTGCTTTGGACAAAGTGGTTGCAACAAACAAAGAACACACAAAATCATCCGAGGAAGTTTTAACAGTTTCAATGGCAGCACCAAGCATTGAGACTGATGGTCTGCCAATAGACATACAAACTACTGAAACTGAGCACGAAAGAAAAGGAGCCAGGTTTAAACTACCAAGTCTTGGTTTTTCTGTGTCAGAAATCAAAGGTCCTGACTCTGGCTTAAGCTCATCAGAGACAGCTCCAGATGTAAGACTACCAGACACCAAAGCTGAAGTCCAACTCTCTGAAGTTAAACTAAAACAGCCTTCTACTACGGTGAAAGATCCTGAGATCAAAGTGGTATCAAAGGATCCTGATGGATCTCCATCCAGATTTAAGATGCCCACTTTCAAACTACCAACATTCAACCTTAAAACTCAAAGATCCACTGAAGAAGAACCTGCGTTGGGCAAAGATGTCACAACAGACATAAAACACACAAAATCATCTGATGAAGTTCTAACAGTTACAATAGCAGCACCAAGCATTGAAACTAAAGGTCTGTCAGTAGACATACAAACTACTCAAACTACACAGGAAGAAAAAGGAGCCAAGTTTAAACTACCAAGTCTTGGTTTTTCTGTGTCAGAGGTCAAAGGTCCTGACTCTGGTTTAAGCTCATCAAAGACAGTTCCAGATGTAAGACTACCAGAAACCAAAGCTGAAGTCCAACTCTCTGAAGTTAAACTAAAACAGCCTTCTACTATGGTGAAAGATCCTGAGATCAAAGTGGTATCAAAGGATTCTCATGGATCTCCATCCAGATTTAAGATGCCCACTTTCAAACTACCAACGTTTAAGCTTAAATCTCAAAGATCCACTGAAGAAGAACTTGCTTTGGACAAAGATATCACAACAGACATAAAACACATACAAGCATCTGAGGAAGTTCTAACAGTTTCAATGGCAGCACCAAGCATTGAGACTGATGGTCTGTCAGTGGACGCACAAACTAGTGAAACCATGCAGGAAGGAAAAGGAGCCAAGTTTAAACTACCAAGTCTTGGTTTTTCTGTGTCAGAGGTCAAATGTCCTGACTCTGGTTTGAGCTCATCAAAGACAGTTCCAGATGTAAGACCACCAGAAACCAATGCTGACGTCCAACTCTCTGATGTGAAACTAGTACAGCCTTCTACTACGGTGGAAGATCCTGAGATCAAAGTGGTATCAAAGGATCCTGATGGATCTCCATCCAGATTTAAGATGCCCACTTTCAAACTACCAAAGTTTAAGCTTAAAACTCAAAGTTCCATTGAAGAAGAACCTGCTTTGGACAAAGTGGTTGCAACAAGCAAAGAACACACAAAATCATCTGAGGAAGTTTTAACAGTTTCAATAGCAGCACCAAGCATTGAGACTGATGGTCTGCCAGTAGACATACAAACTACTGAAACTGAGCACGAAAGAAAAGGAGCCAAGTTTAAACTACCAAGTTTTGGTTTTTCTGTGTCAGAGGTCAAAGGTCCTGACTCTGGTTTAAGCTCATCACAGGCAGTTCCAGATGTGAGACTACCAGAAACCAAAGCTGAAGTCCAACTCTCTGATGTCTGTCTGAGAAAAACTTCAGTTGAACAGGAAAACAAAAGTCCAGAGATCAAAGTCTTGGTTACAACTACTGATGGGTCACCATCCAAATTCAAGGTGCCAATATTGAAATTACCAAAAATTGGGCTCAGCACTCCAGGCTCTACTGGAGAAGAACTGTGTTTCGACAATGATATCAAAACACAAGAGATAATCATTTCTGATGAGATTTCCACTGTTTCAACAAAAGCAATGAGCACTGACGCGAAAGATTCATCAATTGATTTAAAATATACTAGAAATGAACCTAAAGAAAAGGAACACAAGTTTAAGCTGCCGAGTCTTGGTTTTTCTGTCTCAGGAGCCAAAAAATCAGACATTAATTTAGGTTTATCAAACACAGACAAAGACGTTCCACTGTCAGAATCCAAAGCTGAAGTCAAACTTTCTGAAGTTAAACTAAAACAACCTTCTAACACGATGAAAGATCCTGAGATCAAAGTGGTATCAAAGGATTCTGATGGATCTCCATCGAGATTTAAGATGCCCTCTTTCAAACTACCAAAGTTTAAGCTTAAAACTCAAAGTTCCACTGAAGAAGAACCTGCTTTGGACAAAGTGGTTGCAACAAACAAAGAACACACAAAATCATCTGAGGAAGTTTTAATTGTTTCAATGGCAGCACCAAGCATTGAGACTGATGGTCTGCCAGTAGACATACAAACTACTGAAACTGAGCACGAAAGAAAAGGAGCCAAGTTTAAACTACCAAGTCTTGGTTTTTCTGTGTCAGAAATCAAAGGTCCTGACTCTGGCTTAAGCTCATCAGAGACAGCTCCAGATGTAAAACTACCAGACACCAAAGCTGAAGTCAAACTCTCTGAAGTTAAACTAAAACAGCCTTCTACTATGGTGAAAGATCCTGAGATCAAAGTGGTATCAAAGGATTCTGATGGATCTCCATCCAGATTTAAGATGCCCTCTTTCAAACTACCAACGTTTAAGCTTAAAACTCAAAGATCCACTGAAGAAGAACCTGCGTTGGACAAAGATGTCACAACAGACATAAAACACACAAAATCATCTGAGGAAGTTTTAATTGTTTCAATGGCAGCACCAAGCATTGAGACTGATGGTCTGCCAGTAGACATACAAACTACTGAAACTGAGCACGAAAGAAAAGGAGCCAAGTTTAAACTACCAAGTCTTGGTTTTTCTGTGTCAGAAATCAAAGGTCCTGACTCTGGCTTAAGCTCATCAGAGACAGCTCCAGATGTAAAACTACCAGACACCAAAGCTGAAGTCAAACTCTCTGAAGTTAAACTAAAACAGCCTTCTACTATGGTGAAAGATCCTGAGATCAAAGTGGTATCAAAGGATTCTGATGGATCTCCATCCAGATTTAAGATGCCCTCTTTCAAACTACCAACGTTTAAGCTTAAAACTCAAAGATCCACTGAAGAAGAACCTGCGTTGGACAAAGATGTCACAACAGACATAAAACACACAAAATCATCTGAGGAAGTTTTAATTGTTTCAATGGCAGCACCAAGCATTGAGACTGATGGTCTGTCAGTGGACATACAAACTACTGAAACTGAGCACGAAAGAAAAGGAGCCAAGTTTAAACTACCAAGTCTTGGTTTTTCTGTGTCAGAAATCAAAGGTCCTGACTCTGGTTTAAGCTCATCAAAGACAGTCCCAGATGTAAGACTACCAGAAACCAAAGCTGAAGTTCAACTCTCTGATGTGAAACTAGTACAGCCTTCTACTACGGTGAAAGATCCTGAGATCAAAGTGGTATCAAAGGATTCTGATGGATCTCCATCCAGATTTAAGATGCCCTCTTTCAAACTACCAACGTTTAAGCTTAAAACTCAAAGATCCACTGAAGAAGAACCTGCTTTGGACAAAGATATCACAACAGACATAAAACACATACAAACATCTGAGGAAGTTCTAACAGTTTCAATGGCAGCACCAAGCATTGAGACTGATGGTCTGTCAGTAGACATAAAAACTACTGAAACTGAACACGAAAGAAAAGGAGCCAAGTTTAAACTACCAAGTCTTGGTTTTACTTTGTCAGAGGTCAAAGGTCCTGACTCTGGTTTAAGCTCATCAAAGACAGCTCCAGATGTAAGACTACCAGAAACCAAAGCTGAAGTCAAACTCTCTGAAGTTAAACTAAAACAGCCTTCTACTACTGTGAATGATCCTGAGATCAAAGTGGTATCAAAGGATTCTGATGGATCTCCATCCAGATTTAAGATGCCCACTTTCAAACTACCAAAGTTTAAGCTTAAAACTCAAAGTTCCACTGAAGAAGAACCTGCTTTGGACAAAGTGGTTGCAACAAACAAAGAACACACAAAATCATCTGAGGAAGTTTTAATTGTTTCAATGGCAGCACCAAGCATTGAGACTGATGGTCTGCCAGTAGACATACAAACTACTGAAACTGAGCACGAAAGAAAAGGAGCCAAGTTTAAACTACCAAGTCTTGGTTTTTCTGTGTCAGAAATCAAAGGTCCTGACTCTGGCTTAAGCTCATCAGAGACAGCTCCAGATGTAAGACTACCAGAAACCAATGCTGAAGTCCAACTCTCTGATGTGAAACTAGTACAGCCTTCTACTACGGTGCAAGATCCTGAGATCAAAGTGGTATCAAAGGATTCTGATGGATCTCCATCCAGATTTAAGATGCCCACTTTCAAACTACCAACTTTTAAGCTTAAAACTCAAAGTTCATCTGAAGAAGAACCTGCTTTGAACAAAGATGATAATCAAATTCCAGAGAGAGATCTAGGACTTACCACAGCAGCACAGAGCACTGAAAGAATAGGCCCCTCAGTTGAAATAAAAACACCAGAAACTGAACATGAAGGGGAAAAAGGCAAATTTAAGCTGCCAAGTTTAGCTTTTTCAGTCCCACAAGTCAAAGGACCTGATGTGGATTTCAACTCATCAAAGACTGTTGTGAAGGTGACAGGACCAGAACCCAAAGTCACTGATGTTGAACAAAAACAAGCTTTAACTGGAGTGGAAACTAAACCTCACGACATCAATAGTTGGACAAAGAATACAGATGGGTCCCCTTCCAAACTGAAGATGCCAACAATAAAAATACCAAAGTTTGGGGTTGGAAGTCCAGGTTCAGAAAAACCTGTTTTAGACAAAGACAGTAAAACAGCAGAAGCTGAAACTGAAGGTCAATCAGCAGATAAAACTGCAGCATCTGAACATAAAGGAAAAGAAAGCAGATTTAAACTACCAACTCTTGGTTTTTCTGTGTCTCAAACCAAAGAGACAGATTTTAGTCTGAAGGCAGATGTAGATGTGAGGCCACCGGAGACCAAAGCTCAGATCAAACTCCCAGATGACGAAGTGAAAAAACCTTCAGCTAAAGTGGAAATCACCGCTCCTGGAACTGATTCAAGGTTGGACAATGTTGAAGAATCAAAATCAAAATACAAAATACCTACATTTAAATTACCCAAATTAGGAGCGTCTCCTCCTCAAGTCAACATGGAAGAACCACTCTACTCTCAAGTCAAACCGCCTACAGATTTAGGCGATGGGGATGTTGAGGTGAAAATGGCGAAATCTGACATCAAAATGTCAAAGCCAAAAGACATGGACACTTTAAAGAAACATGTAGACATCACACATCCAGCAGTCAAAGCTGAAGGACAATCTTCAGATGGTAAACAGCCTTTGGTAACCATGAATTTTAGGCCACCAGAGATCAAACCACACAGCTCAACTGACACGTCCCCCAGATCTGGGGTTGTAATTCCCCAGCTAGGTGAGGAATTACCCATTGTGAAAAATGAAATAATTAAAGCAGACATTATAGTCGAGTCTGTAGATATTAAAGATACTCAACTGAAGAAAGGACTAGAAGAGATGTTGCAAGAAGCTACAGCTGAAGGTAAACTATGTAGAGTAGTTTTATTACAAGATGTTCCTACAGGTGGGATTAAGGCTAGTTTAAAACATCCCAACTCAGGAGCAGGTGCTAAAACCTCTGATGTTCACGTCAAAATTGAAACAAACAAAGCAGAAGTCTGTCTACCAGGTGCTGGTGGTGAAAGACCTCCCGGCGCTACTTTGTCACAGGCTGCAGAGCTTAAAAAAAGTAAGTTTTCTCTTCCTGCAATTTCCTTTTCAAAGTCAAGAACTAAAGAACCTGAAGCGAAAGCGGATCCTCCAAACCCAGATGTCGTTGTTCCAGATGTAGAAGTAAAGGTTGAACATAAAATTGACCTTACAGTGCCTGAGCTTAAAGCTGGAGCAGATGGTAAAGGAAGTGGATTAAAAGGAGTTGGTCTGAATTTGTCTCAGAAAGCTGCAGATCTCAAAACAACAGAATTAAAAGATGAGCTCAAGTTCTCTAAAGATGGAGTCAAACTGAATTCAGCCAGTGGAGAAACCACAGCATCTGAGGCTGAAGCTAAGTCTAAAGACGTGAGAGGATCGCCCTTAAAATTCAAACTGCCAACACTGAAAATGCCTAAATTTGGCAGTGCATCTCAAAATATCCCAACGGAAAGACACAGCCTAGAAAAAGCAGCCAAGATGGATGATGGGAAACTACAGAAAGAAGCTGCCGCCATCCTCAAAAATCCAACTGTTGGTACCAAAGCAGCAACACCAGAAACGGAACCATCCATGACTGAAACGGATTATGGTGAATTAAAACGTACAACATTTAAAATACCACAGCCGAGTCTGTCAAAGCCTAAACCTGAAGAAGATGTCCCTGCTGACAATGTATACAAACAAAATCAACCAGAGCTTAAAACGGATTCAAAAGGGGAACAAAAATCATCAAAAATAATTTTATCATCGTTCGGTCAGATCCTCGAGACCACTGATGTTGAATTTGATGTTCCAAAAGTAGACTCATGTGCTGAAATCTCAAAGACAGTGTATGAAACAAATGAAACCACCATAAAGCATTTAGACACTAAAGAAAAAGAAGCAAGGCCTGAACAAGACTCAGTCAGTTGCCATTGGAAGGGCGAATGGTCCTCCCCAGAAGAACCACCCAAGATTCCAGAAATAGCTCAGCAGAAGAATGACACCAGCCCAGTGGGACAAGTGAGGGAGGAGGAAATAAGTCCCACCTGTTCTGTCCAGTCATCAGATGCCTTTGCTGATATAAGCTCTACAGTCACAAGTGAGCCTACTGGCCCAAACCTGCAGTCTCCAACCGTGGTCACAGTCAGAGGCTCCTATCCCTATCCTGGACTTGGAGAGACACTCTGTGACATCACAAGAACAGAACGGATCCCAGATGAGTCCAACATAACAGTTTCCTCTACCGTTGAAGACACTCTGAGGCTGGAATCTGAACAAATACACATCATCACATCAAAAACAGAGAGACTAACTGCTGTCCTGGAGCAACCAGCTGGAGGCCTTCCTGTGGAACCAGATGCTGAAGTTGCATCGTGGGAGGTTGGAGGCTCAAAAATATTCACAAAGACCATGTTTGAAATGCACACAGTGACAGAAATGTCAGGAGATAGCAGCCAGAGCAAGGAAGCACTAGTGATAACCAAACAGGTCACGCGTTTATCTGAGCCCATCTCAGGAGAGACAGCGTCATCCATCCGACGACTCCGAGACTCCGTGCACTCAGACAAAATGAGGTTCTTCGATGAGGCTGACGCGTAAAATATAAATCCAGTTTGTGTTGAAACATTCCTCACCTTGTTACTGGAGTTTAGATGCCTTTTGTCACGAGGCAGGAAGCAAACACATGCTAGCAACAACAAAAGTGTTAAAGTTAGCTAATCGTTTGATTTTGAAATATGATCAAGATGATGTCTGGTTACTTAATAGAAATAGATTCATCTTACGAACACAAACAATAATAAAATAACACATTAATATATCCAGGCTTTATCGCACATCTTTGCTTTGTGATCCCAAACCAGACCAAAGTGTAACCATCTTTCAGCCAATTTAGACTGTGTTTCTGCATATAATTTACCTGCTTTAGTTTAATTTTGAGCAATATTGAAACATTTTCCAGCCAGCCACCATCAGTCAATCATTCAGTAATTGGTGAAAAATTACAGGAGTGGTTTGCTGGTGGAACTGAGAGGTCATCACAAGGCGGCCCAGACTGGCTTCTCTCTAGTAGAACAACATGTTGTTTCCAGGTCAGCGTTGAGTATAATTCCTCCAGTGTCCTTATTGTCCCAGGGTCCCTGGTAAGACATGTCTGACCATCTCAGCTAGCTTGCCCCAACATATGGGCCATTCCCATCTGTACCGGGTCGGCCCGGGCCGGGTAGCCCCAGTCGGCCCCAGCCTGGCCCGGTTGATTCCACACATCCTTGCCTTAAGCCCATGTGGGCTGATTCTACCCAGCAATCTGAGGCTTGCTCTAATGGAAGGTGTGCATTTGCTGTCAGCAGTGGGTGTGTTGGCCCTGGTCGGCCTGAAGCAGACCCCCTCGAGAAGAGGGCTGAGAATGAGCCTTGGTTGGCCCGGAAAAATACCAGGCCACCCAGATATGTAAACAACCTACGCTACCCGGTCCGGGCCGACCCGGTACAGATGGGAATGGCCCATTAGAAGAGTAGTGGTTCTCGGGTCCCTCCTAAATAGCTGAGCTCTTCAGTTGTTCCCTTTGTTTTCACTTGAATAAATCAGTGTGATGTAGTGTTCATTTTATTTTTAGATCATTGAGATACCTCAAAGCAACACTAATTAAATTTTCTACTTCTTTCTCCTACTGGTTGAAACAGCTGATGTAAAGAACCCAGGCACAGTCTGCTGTAGCTAGTACTAACAACGAGCTAATGCTAACACAAGCCAGCTGATAATAAATATGCCATGATGTAAAAAGTTCCTCACGGTTACCATTACGGTTAAAATATTACTTACAAGTCTAGTAGCAACAGAGCCAAGTCACTATCAGTCAATGATTTCGTAACCTCTTTCAGCTCCTCTCAATGTCGAGGCACCTGCCCTCGCAAGACATCGAGGACACTGTCCTTCCTTGGTCAAAGAAAATGGTTTAACGGAACTGACCAATGTGACCGCGGCTTCTGCGGCAGTCGTGTATATAGTTGTTAAAATAAATATGTAAGGGAGTTACAACCTGCTAGCCACCGAAGCTGCAGCAACTAACCAACCATAGCTAACTGCTTTGGATATAAAAAAAAACACATTTTAGATGCCAACGATGTCAACCCGATAGCTACAATTAGCTGAAATATATTTAAACTTGAAATTTGCCCCCGAAGTAGCTGTCGGCTCCTGATCCACCATCCTAGAAAATACGGCGCTGTATTTCGGGAAATTTCTGACCAAGGCCGGTCTACAAGGCACCTCCCGTGTATCCTTGCTCAGCTGGCTAAACGGTTAACAGATGGAGAACAGGCGTCTCGGTAGAACATAAACATTGGAACACACCTTGGCGGTTCTGATGACGTATCTCCTAGGGAACCTGGGCGGGACCAAGACATCAAGGCAAGGATCCTTGACATTGAGAAACTTCCCAGTTTGAAAGCAATACTAAAAAAGCCAAATTCCCAGCTGCTCAGTGTGAGAGGAGACAGCATCCCCTTTTCACATAAACAGTGTTCACTTCCTCCAGGACTCAGAAGCCGAGTGCTAGCCTTCTTTCAGGAATGTCTTATGTCAGTGTGATGTGAAACTGATAGCAGTATCACGGTTTATAATATAACATTAAATGAACCGCTGAGAGATTTAGAAGGTTGGAGCTAATCAAATATGGCTGAAACTCTCTTTGGTCTTTGGCTGTGCTTGGACTAGGGAGCTTAAGTCTCCTCCCTTTCTGGTCGGCTCATGGATCCCCGGAAGAACAAAAAAATGAATGCAAATCAATGGGGCTAAAAACGCTATTTTCTAATCCGCCTTGCCTTACGCTCTCGATCGCACATACGGTATGTTGTATTGCAATTTAAATGAAAGGTAATGATGGGTGCTTTGGCCACGCCAGTCACGTACTTTAAGATTTATCAGCTTGTAAAAGCTCATAATTAGCATGACTACACACCAGAAATCGGCACGTTGCATATGTGACGTCACCACATAATCTCCTCTCCCCTAATGTAGCTGCTCCTTGCCACATGGCCGGATTTCTGGTGGTTCTTTCCTCCTGTGGAAATTCGCCGAACTTACAGCCCTTTTCCCTCAAGGAACATAACAAGTTGAATTAGGAAAATAGAGTTTTTAGCCCCATTGACTTGCATTCATTTTTTCGTTCTTTCGGGACCCATGGTCCGGAAGTAGATGGACGTTAGGCTCCCTATAGCTGTTAGCTCACACGAGCTGCTAGCTCAGACTAGCTGTTAGCTCAATCTAGCCGTTAGTTTAAACTAGCTGTTAGGTCATCAGTCCTGAAGGATGTAAATTCTATTTCTATGGATAGAGGCCATCTGCAATGGATATTGTAAGCCTTGTGTATAACCTTTACACAGAAACATACTTCTGAATGGCTGAAATATCAGTGACTGAAGTACCAGAGGACTTGATAAATGAACTGATTTTTGAAACATTGTTATTATCATTCCCAAAAAAGTGTTTAAAATAAATAAAGTCTGGGAATCCTTTAGGACATAGCAAATCAGGAAATTGCATATGCATGTGTTGTCTATAGGCTATTGATGTTGAAGCTGATCTGTAAACAGAAACTGTATTACAAAACTCAAGAGAAATGTTCATTGTAAACAATTATTTACAATTAGCTATTTTTAACCTAGTTTGCTACAAGGATCTGTAATCTATGTATTATTTAACATATGCTTTCTTTTATGGTCAGAGTTTTAGAATAATGATGTAAATAGCTTTCGGAGGCCTTTCGGTTATTTTGGTTACTGTTCCTGTTTGTATCCCAATAAGCTTTATGTCAGTGTGTTTGCAAATTTGCACACAGCAGCAATGAATAAAACCTATTGAAAGTCATTAACTTTTCATCAATGCGTCACATTTATTAAATTCACTGATGTGTTAAGTTATTATTTAATTATTATTCATTCACTTTATATCATGCATGTTTTAGGTTAATAAATATGATTAGAATAAACAGGAAAAGTTAAACTGATGTCATAGACCCGAGTTTTACTGCTGACCAAATAATCAATGGAATATCAACAAAGTTGTTGTACTTTGTTATTTCATCAGACTGATTAATGTCAGAATATTCATATTATTTTTGAGACACATTGCCACCCTTAGTGTGCTCTCATTTCTAATAAAGAGTAAAGATATTGAGATATTTTAAACATAAAAGACAAAATAGTCACAAGTTGGTGACCCAGCTTCTGTAATCATCAGATCAGCATCAGAGAGATTTATTGAGGAATTTCTACACAGTTTGACTATGAAACCGACTGTAGAATTTAATTAGAGTACAGATATTTAAACAAGAGTCATTTAGTCATTTGCAGCATTGTGCTGCAATTCTTCTACAAGTCTATTATGGAGAGTGTGATCTCTTCAGCCGTCACTGTGATGTATTTAAACTATTGCCATAAAGCAATGTGTCCCTGTTGAATCACCATGGTGATGCTCCCTTCATGTTGGGAGTCGTTGCTTGCAGTGGTGGAGGAGTTCAAGTATCCCAACATCTTCTGTCGTGATGGATGTGAGGATGGAGCTGGAGCCGGACCGACAGATCGGGTCTTTATCAGCAGTAAAGAAGCTGCTGTTGCTCCAGTTTTTGTTGATCAAGAAGCTGAATAACAAAGTTCTTCCTTTATCAGCCTCCTTTGCAGTTTTAAGTTAAAACTTATCAAAGTTGTTTATTATTGAATAAATGCAAAAGCATGTGATGCATTAAGTGACCAAAATCTTCCTACTGAAACTAACTCAGACTAGTGTAACATCTGGAGCTACAGCAGCTGTTTAAAGGGACAGTTGGACATGGCAGCACAGCTGTAGGTCATCGTGTCTTGAACCACTTCAGGTTGGTTCTGATCACTGCTGACCAGGAACGTAACACCTGAGCTTCAGTTGTGGAGATGCCATCACCCAGCTGTTGGCATTCTAGACCAGACTTTCAACTCAGCCAGAAGTTTGTCTCCAACACATGAAGATCTGATGTAGTGTTGACCTCTTGACCTGTGAGCTGAACTAATGATCTCCGTCCCTCCCGAGTTCTCGTTAGCTCTTTGTTTTGCTTGTTGTTTTGACAACAAATTAATGTTGTGTTAATCTGTTTCATTTTAATTTGTATTTCATTTAAACCTGGAGAGGGCGCCACCACGTCAACAGTTTAGATCAAAGGCTTTAGTTGTACAATTTAGACAAATGAGTGTTTTTGTTATTGCACGAGAAACCAACAGCACTATTAAAAGTGCACTCTTGAATTGGCTTTTACCCTGTTTATGCTGCAGCTGCATCCAATTTTCAAATGATTAGTGTTTCTTTTATGTTGTTCAGCATGTGATCACTGATCTACACATTCACTTGCCTTTAGACTCTGAGTCATTTAAAAACATTGTTAAAGACACACTTTTATGTAAACTAGGTATTTTCTAATTAATTAGAACTCTGAACTGGTTTTATTCTAACCTGATTTTAACTTTCTTTATTCTAATTTTAGAAATAGTGTTTATATTGTTTTGCATTAATCTGCTTCTCATCTTGTGAGGAACCCTTAATCAGCAGTAGCTGTAAATGTACTATATAAACAAAACTGACCTCATGGTTCAGAATCAGACAAAGTTTATAAAATCTTTAATAAAAATTCTAATAAAAAAAGTTCCTACACTTAAACTCGAAACATGTTCATTGCCATATTTTTAGGTTTGAGCATGAACTCGTGTAGAAAAAAAAACTGAACAAAGATAAAATGTTTAAAAAGTTTATTTAACCCTCCCACTGTCGTCATGGGTGACCCTGCCAGGAAAGTTGACCACTGAGCAGGACTGAAGGTTTATCCCTTGGGTACACGTGGCAGGGGTGAGGAGTGAGCACCACCTGCCACGTGGACCTCAAGGGATAAACCATCAATCCTGCTCAATGGTCAACTTTCCTGGCAGGGTCACCCATGACGACAGTGGGAGGGTTAAAGGTTTTGGTCCATGGTCAGCTCTGGGGACGAGGAGACATGTCCAGGGGTCTGGGTGTCCGAGGGTCCAGATGTCCAAGGTTCAAGGAGTCCATCGGTCCAAGGGTCCAGAGAGGTGCAGAAAGGGAGGTCAGGTGACTCCAAAAGAGAGCCCAGGAAACGGTAGGCACACCCCAGCAGCCACCAAACCCTAGTCTTCTAGATGTAAACTCTGTTTCTCTGAACAGAGACTGTTCAGGAAGTTTTCTACAACATGTGATGTGTATGTGTGTGTCTATTCCTGGTTTGGCTTCTTAAATAATGAATGTATTTATACAGACGTTCGGTGTGGAGCAGAGGATAAAACCAACCAGCAGGTGGCAGTAAACTCACAATGATGCAGGAAATCATCACCAGAGCGACTCGTCTCTTCTAGTTCCAGGTCTGGGTCTTATTTTTGGTTATTGGCAGAGTTCAAGATATAAAAACCACAAAATCTTAATTCATATTTGTTTTTCCCCAATTAAACATTGGATCTGAAAAATAATGAAACTAAACATTTTGAAGCTTAAGAAAGAAAAACAACCTTTTGTTCATTTGAATCCTAAAAACAGACTTCATGCCTTAGTTTATTTATTTATTATTATTCGTCCATTAATTTAGTTTGCAACAAGATCATCTAGAAAAATGTAACTGACAAAGCAAATAAATAATAATAAAGAAAAACCTTTAAAAGTGGAGGGTTAAAGCAGATTATTGAGCCTGCCTTGATTTTGCTGTTTAACATGTGATTCAAATCAGACCCAAATACATGTGTGATTATTGTGAAGAGCTACAGTTCAGGATTAGAAAATTTTAAGATGAGGATAATTCAATACAGCATATTTAAATAGAAATTATTTGCAGCTTCAGAACTATTATTTAATTATTTACAGATAAAACACAAAAAAGTAGAATATGGTGCAAAAGTTAATTTATGTCAGCACGGACCCTACAGTTACGTAGAGTATTAGACCGATTTCTAGGCTTCATTTTCTCTCCAAAATTTTGGAAAAATTTGTTTTCTTTAATTAAAGAGTTTTACCTTTTTAGAAAGGAATCAAAATTTTGAGGCATTTCAGTTCGGTTTTACGCCCTGTCATAGTACAGAAATTTCACTGGTGAAAGTTTTAATGAGGCTTTACTTGGTACAGATTCTGTTGGAACAGTTTCTTCTGCTTTTGAACTTGACAGTAGCCTTTGACACAGTTGACCACAATATGTTATTGCTGTTTGTAAAATGATGTTGACACAAGAGGTTCTGCCTTAAGCTGATTTAGATCATAATTTTCTGATAGGAGCTTAGTAGTGGTGTTCCCCAGGGCTCGATTCTTGGCCCTCACCTCCGCTTGGTGCTATTTTGTGCAAATATAGTTTATTGTTTAATTTTCATGCAGATGAATGCAAGATATATGTTCCATTAAAGGTGAGTTCATCAGTGCATCCTGTTGTGACATGCTTCAGAGCATATCTTTTATATAGAGCTATAAATCCAGGGATCCATCATTTTATTGCACAGAAATCAGAAAGAATTAAACAACAACCAATTCTGATTCAAATCCACATAAGCCAAATTCACCATGGAGACTATTTTATTAACTTCAAGTTAATGTGGACAAGACTTAGAAAAATAAAATAAAAAAACATAAAAAACATAAAAAGCAGCATTGCAATTTCAATGAGTTTATTAGTGTTATGATTTCCTTTTGTAAAATATATTCCTTCGCAGCATTAGGCTTGGCCTCAACACACTCATCGCCACTTTAGAGACATTATCTTACCTTCTATCTGTAAATATGGGAATTTAATTAAAATCTATTTCTAGATATACCAGCCATACACACAGGGTATTAAGCAGCTTCATTTTTATGCTCTTTTTCAAACACCTGAATCCTCTTGAATTTACGGCAAGCTTTATAGGTCAAAATAATGGGATTCTTTTGAGACAGTGTTTTTTAAATAAACAAACGTCTACAAGCTGTAAACTGTGGAGGAGCCAATGGGGTGTGTGCACTGCTGGAAGGTCATACAAAGTCCTGCTATGGGCGTGCTGGTACCAGTACACACCAGCCTACTTAAAACACTGGTTACCATCAGGTTTGGTACATTAATGAGCCACACAGAGACTTGGAAACCTTACAGCATCCAGTCTGCAAAAGGACAGATGACAAAACTGCAGCTTCAAAAGAGGGATCAAGGGTGTTTAAAAGCTTAGCTCTCTTCCTCACAACCTTCATTTAAGATGTTATCTATAAAATAGAAGAAGAGGGAATGATTTTTTATACAGTGCCTCTCAAGACAAAAATTTAAGTTAAATAAAAATTGAATCAAAAATCAAAAATTTGAAAAATATAACAAACAAAAAACAAATACACGATGTTCACCTCTTAAACATAATAAAAATCCTTTTAAGACCTCAGTCCAGAGCAGCAGTCAAACGAAAGCTGACTCTAACATTCAACAAGCTTTAGAAGCAGAAGACTTTTATAATGTACCTGTGAATGTCATGTTTCCTGACAGTCATTAGCTTTTTATGTCTTTATGATTAAAGTCTACATCTGCCACTCCCTCCCACACGCTCACGCTAAAAACGCCTGACATTAATTATTTGCTGTTTTGCAGGGGGGAGTCTGCCCTTTCACTAAAGGTAGCCATTTATCTCTTTGCATGATGCCTGATTTCAAAAGAACAAAACCATGATGAAGATAATTGTGCTTCCTGCAGCCTTTTGCAAGGCTAACGTAAAAAAAAATCGAAACTAATAAAGAGTCTAAATTTGTTTAATCTGTGAGGCTTGAAGCTGCGTTGTCATGGTAACTGTTGGTGATGACACCTATAGATGTTGGTGATTCTGTGGGGCTTGGAGGCAGTCAGCTTTCATGCAAAACAGGATCAACCACAAATTGCTAATCGCTTCTCCACTTCTAAGCAGTGACATCAATAACTATCACCGGGATGACCCTTGATCTTTTCAATGAAATGCACTTGTTTTCTTTTTGGGTATGAAAGCTTTCATGCATCAAGGGGTCATGGAAAGGCCCGCTTTTTAGGACAGACGTAGATGAAAAAGTGCTTTTGTCTTTGTCTCTCCTCTGGAATATCTCCAAAGGGAACATTACTTTTACCCGGGCCTGGGCTTTTGTTCATGTGCCCCTGGCCCCCCGCCTCCTCTCGGTCGCTCCCTTTTACTGTTATTCTGCCTTTCTGTAGAAGCCCGGAGGGGAAAGTGAGCCATCTCACTCTCACACAACACTGACCCAGTTGAGGATGAGCAGTGGAGAAGGAAATGTAAAGAAAACAGGACTCAGTTTGGCTTGAAGATTCACATTTATTGTGAAAAGACTGGAGTCTGTAAAGCCATGAACTCAGCTACAAAGACGACGGCTAAATCTCAACAATTAGCTCACTGCAGCTGTGAGGTGTCTCCATGCCACCTGAAACGTTGATCCAAGGTGGGATACAGCCATGTTTTCATGTTTAATGACAGCTGAAAACCAGACTCATCAGACCAGCAAAGGTTTTTCCAGTCTCTTCTGGTCCAGTTCTGGTCACCATAAACTGGAGCCTCAGTTTCTTGTTCTTAGCTGGCAGGAGAGACATCAGGTGTGGTCTTGTGCAGCAGGAGTCCATCTGGAGCAGCTGCTGTGGTTCTGCAGACCTTATAGGAACCAGTGGTTACTGGAGCTGCTGGTATCTTTGTATAATCTAGAACCAGTCTGAGTCTTTTCTGACTTCTGACCTGTTGTCACTGAGCAGCAACATGAGAACAGTGACAAAGTTTAAACGTCCTGAATTTACTTTTCAACCAAAGCACGAGGAAAGTTTTGAGTGAGACCTTTGATGGAGAAAATTTGCTCTTGAGTTTTCGTTCCCTGTTGGATGGAAACTTTGTCTGAATGCAAAGTTTAAAAAAGTCTCATTTTAGTTCTCTGAATAATGAATCTTGTTATTTCGAATGGAGGTGTGTGTGTGTGTGTGTGTGTGTTGTATTTGTGTTCCACAGAATCCAAGATTCATTATCATTTTCATGGTTTATTCTAATTTCTGGAAGTGCTGCTTGTACTCTCAGCCCTTGAACATATTATTTATCCCTGATTACTGCACCCTGCTTGTGTGATGATATCATCCCTCCACACAGCGCCGGAGCGTTCTTTCTTCCCTTTCAGTAATCACGCAGTCCCAACTGATCCTCCATCAGATCTGAAGCTCCAGAGTCCCTTTAAAGCCTCTCTATCCATCCATATCCCACTCTACTTCGTGACACCTCACACAACTTCCTCGCCCCATGCTGTGATGGCACTGCCGGTCTCCTAGCAACCAACCCTCTTAGAGGAGGTGACAGCATTTGAGTGGGCATCCTCACCTCTCCACATTCACCCCCCCTCCTTTACCCCCAAACCCCCCACCATCACCCTCTCACTGTGCTGCACCGACCGGATGCTCTTTGAGTCAAGTAAACACACCTCACTCCGTGGAGCTTTCTGCCTCCTGAACTTTCAGACTGTTGCAGACTGATAATTAGAATATTTCCAGGTCGTGTCGCCACATTTTAAAAATTTTCACTGCAGTTCTCATAAGTTTCTTTTAACCTTTTTGTATCTTTATTTTGCAGTCAATCAAACCTTGTTAAAATTCTGTTCACAATCATGATTTCTTATTTTATTAATTCAGTGAATGCACAAAACAAAACAAAAAAACCTTTTCTATAGCTCTATGAAAGATGCGGGTGAGCAGTATGGCAACGGCGACAGTCATTCAGTAGCCATCTTGTCATCAGGCTGTGGCGTGTGTAATGGTATGGGCTTGGCTCAAAACCTCTGATGGCGGCCAAAACACGAGAAAGAACATTAACATTTTACAGCAGCATATGTTGCCCTCAAGTCCCCGGACGTTTCCAGGAAAATCCTTGCATTTTTTAACCAGACTGAACATGGTCATCCATGTTCAGTACTAAAGCATTGCTGAGGAGGAAGAGAGGCTGGGTCAGCGTTAGGGTTAGGTGGGCTTAACTGCTTTAAACACAGACTATTGTTTCTGTAAATGGTTAGTAGGAGCCCTATGGGTTATGAAAAAACATCTGGAGAATCGATCCTGAGCGTGCTCTTCTTAACATGGAGGATGTCAAAAGTCCTCTACCCCATCTCTAAGCATGGCTGCTCTACAGAGAACACTAATTTTGACTGCTTGTTTTGTGATCTTGCTCTTTTGGTCATTCTTCAAAGTCTATGATCAAAGTGAGGATGGGGTTGAAGATCAACTGGTAAATTAGAGCTGTTCTTTCTGGCGTAGCTTGTCTTCACCACTACAGACGGGTTCAGCTTTCTCATGACTGCAGACACTCCCCCAATCCGCTGGTTGATCTTTGCTCCCTCCTTGTGAACAAGACCTGGAGATCCTGAAACTCCTCCCACACCCGAGGCTTTAGCTCAGCCCCTGCCACTGCTGCACACCTCTTGGCCCTCCAGGACTTGTCAGTTGTTCAGGAGATCTACAGACCAGCCATGCCCCATGGAGCAAGTCAAAAGTAAAATTTCCTTCATTGTGGTTTGTTGTGCTCTCTGGTAAAGTTTGGGACATCGTCATTCACTGTCAGAGTTTCATTACCATTAGAAAAGAGTCATTATCTTCATCCTCAGGGTCAGAAGACGAAAAGTCGAAAACAGCTGATGTGAGCCATGTTTCTTGTAAATAACATTAACCCTCTGGAGGCAGCCGTTGCAGATTTGCAACATTAAAACCTACCTACCTGGTTACTCTACATACGTATTTCATGAGCATTTTTTTAACTCAGAAGTACCCCTGAATGATATAGTTGTTCATCCTTTTATCAAAACTTATTTTGAGCCAGAGAGGGTTAAAATTATTTATTCAAATTTTTTTTTAAAGAAAAACCTGCAAAGTTACTGAAAGATGTTCAAAGTGACAAAAGTAATAAGGGAGTCCTGAATGTGTTCAGGGTCCTATCTCAAGCCCATCAAGACCTTTCTGGAGCCAAACATGCTGCCCAGAGTCCGTGAGTTTGGCCTCAGTGTCAGATGGAGCTAGGAGCTAGAATCCCCAAGAATGGATCAGAACCAAACACTGAATGGTTCTGAAGTGGCCTATGGGACTAGACCCTGTTGAACATCTGTATCAGGAACAACAACATCTGGAAAAGGAACTCTTCAGACCTGAGACAGCTGGAGCAGATTGCTCATGAGGAGTGGGCCACAATACCTGTGGACAGGTGGGACGTCTCACCGGGAAGGACCAGAATACCTGTGGACATGTGGGAAAGCTCTCTGGGAGCTGCAATTTATCTGGGGTTTATCTGAAGTAAACTGTTATCCTACCTGCAAGATCTCAAAAACAGCATCTCATTGATAATCTGTTTCTTTTCTGTGGGAAGACGTCAAAGTTCCAGGATGTTTTTAGGTTTAGTGTCTGATTCCCGTCTCCCCGTTTTCCATGCAAATGCTCATTTTGTTGTAAATGCATCGGTCATTCTCTGGGAACATGTCTGCTGTGATTGTGGACAGACAACTCCACAAACTTGAATCTCAATTGAACACAATGCCACAGTTTCTTAGTCACAGAGGTTTGCTGAGAGGGATGATTAGAATAAACTCAATTCATGAACAAACTCTGCTAAGTCATTGGCACTAATAGTAAGGGACTTACACTTTTATTGGAAATAAAGACCAACAAGATTGCAGATGACTTAGGATCCCTTGCAGAGCAGATTCGAGATCTCGATGATTCTTCAGAGACAAAAACACTCACTCTCTGTTTGATTACATGTATGTGTGGTGATGGGTCTCGGTTCACAGCCCGACTCTACTTATCTTCCGTTGCGTGATTAATTCAGTTTAAGGTGAACGTTTTAGAGTTTGGAGTGAAGAAGCAGAAGTCAGATGACTGGGAGACACATTTTTGAGCCTGGAGCCACGCTGGTGAAGTGACGTGAATGTCTGACGAAGCTAAAGGCAGCTCTTGAACTAGCCTCTACCTACCAGGCTGCTCTTCCACTGCTGCTGCGCTCTGGACCCCTTTAGAAGCGCTTCAGCACCACGGCGCGCTGGACAGCTCCTCTTCCTTTTTTCCTCCCAGGACTTAATTTCTCTGGAGAAAAGTGAGTTTTTATTTACTGAGACAATTTTTCATCTTTAAGGAACCCACACTGTAAAGTCGCTTGGGAGGAGATGGATATTGATCGACCTGCAAATGTGTCCTTCTTTGATTTTGTTGGAGGAATCCAACTTCTCCAGGGAGATGAAGCTAGGACGGCCATGCCTGCCATTCTGATTGGAATCTGCGTGTCTGGAGCAGTTGGGAATTTGCTGGTGTTGCTGATTTTTATCCGTGACTTTAGAAACGGAAGGGGCTCGGAGGTGAAAGCGCTCCTGGCCTCTCTGGCTTCCACGGACCTGGTGATTCTGCTGCTGTGCGCTCCCGTGCGCGCCGTCACCTACTACAAACAGACCTGGACCCTGGGCGGGTTTGTGTGCCGAACCACGGACTGGTTCCAGCACTCCTGTGTGGTCGCAAAAACTTTAATCCTTGCAGCGACCACGAGAGCCAAACACACTCTTCCACACGCCCCTACACCCTTCCACGGCCCAACGTGGATCCATGGAGCCCTGGTGTTCATTTGGACAGTTTCCATGATGTTCCCGATCCCTCAGATGCTTTTCGCCTCCTTGTTGCAGTACGACAGCGACACTATTTGCGTCTCTACAATGCCAGTGTGCGCGTCTGAATTCATGAGTTTGTTCTACAAGATTTATCCAACCGCCACGTTCGTAATGCCGGTCATCCTGACCACAGCCTATTACACCAAGACGCTGCACGCCGCTGTGAACCACGCGCCCAGCCCGCAGCACCAGAGCAAAGTTATTCTGGTTCTGTTGTGTCTGAGCGGCGCCTTGGGGCTTATGCTGCTCCCAGAGTGGGGGACCTTCACCTGGGTCAGACTCGGGTACAACAAGCCTCCCGCGGGGCTGTTGATGTTCGCGCAAGTCCTCCTTTACGCATGCAGCGCCCTGTCTCCGGTCGTCCTGATGACTATGTACGACGATGTGCGCCAAGGACTGGTCACCCTCTGGTTCATTGCGACCTGCAGAAGCAAAAAGTGCGCGCCCCCTAAAAAGTGTCCCCAAACGGAGGGAAACGGAGCGGAGGTTGGAGCCAACGCCATGACCAACGCCGTCGCTCAGGACGCGGACAAAACCTTCCCAGATGTGGAGCACTTCTGGACGGGACGCAGGAATACGCAAGTGGAGGATGAGCAGGATCCGGTTCCGTGGGAGAAAGAGGAGAAGATGTTGTGAAGAATATTTCAGTATTTTTGTAGCAGGAGAGTTCAGCTTGTTGTCAGCTGTGTGTCGACCCATCAGACCCGAAATCAGGGCTGTAGCTGCGTATCGTGAGCTTGTTTAGATGTAAAACAAACTTTCATGATTGATGTTGTTTTGAATCTTCTGTTCTGTCTGTAGGGCATCTTTATGTATAGCAGAAGAGGTTTGTACAAACAACTCTGTAAATATGGACTCATGAAGTTGTGCTTCTGTTTGTGTCATTGATATTAAAACTCTCATACACCTCGGATCTCGTTCCTTTTCATTTTATTTGCCATTTTTAAGTATACAACGCAGCTTTGATCGTGGATAAAATAGGACGGCAGTCAAATCTCTCTATTTAATTGAGAAAATCCAGAGATTACAAGCACAGTTCAAACAGAGATCCTTTCTGTGTTACAGTCACAACTAATCCAGCGGTGCAATTTAGGTCATGCCAGAAATTAAATTTCAGTGATAGCAGCAGACTGATATAACTGAGTGAGTTGCTCAATTTAGGAAAAACATAAAAATATATCAAAAATACACCTGCAAACGTAGAATAAATAATGTTTTAATAAATTTTTGGAGATGAATGCAGTAACAAGTGCGTCATATGATGATGTTTGCTATATTATATTCTGGTAAATAAATTCCTTTAAAAACTAAATGAATCAGACTCTACTTCAATCGGAAACTTCTTTTTGGTGCATTTTAATGACCTAATAATCTGACAAGTGTGAGTTTATGATATGTCACATATTTACTGCACATCCTGAGCTTTATACCAAAATAAAAGCTTTTCCTTTGAATGTCCCCTCTATGAACATGTCCTTGTTGAAGAAAGTCAGTTACTTGCCTCCTTCTGTGATGAACACTCTAAAAATAGAGTAAAGAACCAAGTGACCCAGGGGCAGACATTTGGAGGCAGGGTCTATACTCAATGAATTAATTATGTGCAGAAGCACAATCATTGCAGAGCTTTAGAGGATGTTTTTTCTCTCTTTAACCTGTAACCTTTCTTTTCACCCGCGTAGACTAAAATGTCAAAACTGCTGGGGCGTCAGAGCCACAGGCGGCTGCTGCTTCACTGGTAAACACTCTGATGGCTAAAAGTATGTTTCTTCTTTTAACGACCACAAAAGGGCATGGCAGCAAAATTAGATGATGAGTGAGGGTGGTGGTGGTTACCATCTGGTTATATCTTACTGAAAAAGTGAAAGGACAAATGTTTATATATATATATATATATATATATATATATATATACTGCATGGTGACACAGTGGGCTGCATGGTGGCGCAGTGGATTGCACTGTTGCCTCGCAGCACGAAGGTTGCAGGTTCAAAACTCGGCTGCGGCCTTTCTGCGTGGAGTTGCGTGTTCTCCCCATGCATGCGTGGGTTTCCTCCGGGTACTCCCCACTGATCACCACATGCCCTATAGGTTATAAATTGTAAATTGCTTTGGATAAAAGCGTCTGCCAAATAAATAAACATATATATATATATATATGTGTGTGTGTGTAGTCATCATGCTGGTCCTTTTGGAACCAAATGTATAAACATACATATAAACACAAAGTTGACTTATTATTGGTATTTCTTTGTGTTTTATACCAGTCTTTTTATCCATCACTACAAGTGAAGAATCTGGGTGTTATTTTCGACTCTGAGCTGACTTTTATTCCCCACATTAAAAACATCACAAAAATAGGTTTTTACCATCTTAAGAATATCGCCAGAGTCTGCCCCATTCTCTCTCGGGCCAATACGGAGACGCTGATGCATGCTTTTATAACCAGTAGAATTGATTACTGCAATGCCCTGCTATCTGGTCTTCCCAAAAAGAGCATCTCAGGTTTGCAACTTTTACAAAACTCAGCAGCACGTGTCCTGATGAAGACCAGGAAGTGGGAGCACATCACTCCGGTTTTAGATTCACTGCACTGGCTCCCCGTATGTTTCAGGATCAATTTTAAGGTTCTTTTGATGGTTTTTAAGTGTCTTAATGGTCTCGGGCCTTCTTATCTTTCAGAACTGCTTTTACTATATAAACCCTCGCGGTCTCAGCGCTCCTCTGGCAGCCGTCTCCTAGTTATCCCTAAAGTTAAAACACACACCCACGGTGAGGCATCCTTCAAGTACTACGGCCCTCATTTTTGGAACGGGCTGCTGGAGGACCTCAGGGCCGAAGGGAACATCCAGGCTTTGAAGAATGGGCTCAAGACCCACCTTTTTAGCTTAGCTTTTAACTGATTACTATTTATCCAGTCTGTTTAACTGTATATCTTGTTGTATTTGTTTATTTATATATATACCTATTTATCTCTTTTACTTAGTTTTATTATTTTATTTACATCTTAGTGTTTTTATAGGATTATGCTTTATTTTACCATCTTTATAATCACTTTTTATCAGTTACTTTCTATCCATATTAGCTTTTGTTATTTTACAGTTATATATTTTAATCCTCCAGGGTTTCCTCTGCGGAGCCCTCTGCCTTGGGGTCGGTGGTCGTTGGCGGTGGCCGGGGCGCTCCTCAGGTAGTGCCCGGGCAGTGGTGGGGGGCTCCGCCCTCCCTCCCTGGGTGTCATGGGCAGGTGTCTTGGCTGCTGCCGTGGATCTGTTGCTGTCGAGGCAGATGGCTCCACTGTTCATTACCTGACCAATCTGAACTCAGCCTATTGTTTACTCTGTTGTTCACGTGTGTGTGTGTGGGGGGGGTGGGGTGGGGGGGGGTATGTTCACCTTGGAAATTGGTTGTGGGAGGAGAAGTGTAATTGTCAATCGTTTGATATTTGGGGAAGGGGGCTGGGATGGGAATATGGGATCTGTGAGGCTATTTTAATCTGTGAAGCACTTTGAGTTGCATTGTTTTTAATGAAAAGTGCTAAATAAAGTTGATTTGATTTGATTTAACAATTTTCACCAGCTTTCTAGAAAACATGTGAGGTTCTCTTTACTTCCTAAAGGGTTTTGAGGCTATTTGGATGACTGATCTTTTGCCATTGGGTTCTATGGATGGAAAAATCCTGACTGAGGAAAAAAAAAATCTGAATCAGTAAAAAAAAAAAAAAAGTCGCAATTAAAGCTGCTAGAGCAAAGTTTCAAAAAGGAAATTAGCTTAAAAGAATTTTTCATGCCTCCTAACTTTCTAACCTAGTGTAGCTATAAATACATGGTGGAGATTTGAAAAATGAAATAATAAAGAATAAAGTGCTTCTCTCGCATTTGGCTATAAACCTACACCTATAAAACTTTTCGGACTGAAAGCATCTATTGGACCATCGGGTTGTTTTTTGTCACCGAACCGTCTCACTTCCCTGGGTCCTCCACTCATAAAGCACTCGTGTATTTAGCAGCAGAACACCACTGCTGTGAGAGGTTCTCAGCTCAATAACACCAGAGAAGGAGAAACAGCTGGCTGCTACCACTTCAACTACCAGAGTGTCAAAAAGAAAAACACCATTTGAAGTCACAGACAACAAAAGATGTTTGGTGACTGGTGTTTAGCGCTCTGTCATTTCCTTTTGCAACACGGGTTCCCGGTTTTGGCAGGGACCATCCTCTCTCTGGCCACCTTCACCTGCTCCTCTGGTGGGACTCTCGGGTGTGCCCATAGCAGCCTTGAAATAGAATCTCTCCAACTCAGGTTCAGACCCAGGCCTTGTCTTGACAGGACATACCAGAAACACCTCCCCCAGGAGGCATTCTGACCCAATCCACTTCAGCTGGCTCCTCTTGATGTGCAGGAGCAGCGGCTCTAATCCGAGTCCCTCCAGGGCATTTGAGCTCCTCATCCTACCTCTAGGAGTCTGTCCATTTTAAAATGTAATTAAGAAACTACATTCATATTTGTTGTAAATGATATATTTATGCTTTACGTTGTTCTCTTTTGAAAATTATTTGCAAACGTTAATGACATAAATCCTTATCCAGCTTTTGGCTCCTAACAGAGACGTCACTAGTGTTGAAAAACACGGGGGCTTAGCCCCCAGGGTTGTAGGAAGGAAGTATTGCTGAAAGTTTTTCACCAAACCTAAACATGCTTTACAGTCAGGACATCATTATAATAAAACAATTTTAAAATACTATAATAACTCTGTCTTTAGAGTGGTTTGGAATCTTTTGTGGGGGCTGAAGTCCACCCAAGATAGGTCTAAAGACATCCCTGGCTCCCAACAAACTCCAGGTGGCAAATGCTTCCCTAAACTCTGCAGCCCTCACAGAAAACGTGTAAACAAAGAAAAATGTTTCTTTATTGTTTTCTTTCTTTTACATTTTTTATTTTCTCCACCATGATTACAAAATTATATCTGAAGATTTACAGAGCATTTGTTTATTTGTTTGTGTATCTCACCCACACACACACACACACACACACACACACACACACACACACACACACACACACACACACACACACACACACACACACACACACACACACACACACACACACAAATTTAGCCTATGTAATCTAGAGAATAAAAGATCTGTGCACGTTTACAAAGAGGTGAAGCACATCTGGTAGGGAATTCCAGCAGTTTCCAGGATAAAAGCAGATTCACCAGCATTTGAAATAATCCATGAAAAATAACCAAGCCATAAATAGTTTGAGTGAAAAAAAGAACATTGAGGCCAGTAAGTTTACAGTAAAGCCTTAAGAGCCCAATAACTAAAGAGAAAAGATTTTGACCTTTTCCATCTGTTCAGTTCATGATCAAAGTTTTGGTTAATTTTCCTCAAACTAGAATTCACGAGCTGGTCGGAGTCGTAAACACATTATCGGGTGCTGTTGCATATGTTACTTCTGTTTGGTCCGTTAGTGTTTGTTTTGGAAACCTGTCTTGGTCCTCGAGGGTTAGTGTTGCTTGTTTTAAATGTCTACAGCTTATCTGAGTTAGGTCAGTGGGCTTCTGCTGAACCTGAGGGCATGCTGAGAGGATATTCAACTTGTGAACCAGGTGTTTTGGAGCTAAGCAACATCTTAAACAGGAAATTTTAATTAACCTGCTGGTTGTTCCCACAATAAGCAGCAATGCTTCGTTTGTAGGGACACGCTGCATGCGCTTTGAGTCTAAGTGCTACTCTTCCAGAGCGCAACAAGCTCAGCAGTTCAGATCGGAGCAGACAGGAAGTCAAAGACAAAAGCAGTGTAACACATCTGGAAACTTTCAAAATAAAAGCCACTTGCAGATTTCCAGTTGCCCAACTAGTTAAAAAATGTTGTTACCTGTTAAACCTGTGCAGTCAAGGTAAACACAAC